CNCCCAAACACAAGGTCTTACACGCCTGGTCGTTTGATATACTCTTACATTTCCTCATCTCATGGGATGCTGAGTTGAAACCCTTCTTTGAGACGGTGGTCGCTTCTGTGAAGAGATGGTTGCGTCTTTAAGGGGGGAAGACAACAAGAATCCCGAGGTTAGGGAGTGTGCATGGGAGAGATGAAGAGAGCGCTGATGCTTTTCCCCTAGCCCGTTTTCTTTATTTTGATTCATTCTATGATCATCCCAGAGTATATTACTGACCAATCATCCAGACCCAACAAAAATGATGGAGAAAATCATAGCTAAAACTATCATAACCTATTACGGGCTTAGATAGAATTCGATATATATATGTCAGAAAATCCCATCTTCTTCTTCTTCTTCTTCGTAGTTCTTCGCTTCTTCACTTTGACTCTACCCTTTAATCTCTCTGGAGAGATCTTGGCCGTACCCGGGTTTTGCTCTTGTTGGTTGCATCCAAAGCATATCCACATCCTCCCATCCGCACCATCCTACAACTCACCTCTAGGGTAGACGTCACAACATCTCTCAGGCAGACGACGATTTTTCACGACGGGCTGGGAATGCTTTTTACTATAGCACTATAGTGTTATAGTGGTGAAAGACGGAGAACTCGACTATGACGGAAGAGAGCTCTTATCGGACTCTGACTGGCCGGCCCCTTTTGCGTGTCCACCAGACGTGGCAAAAGAAAACATGGCATTCACGGATTTCAGGGCCGGAGTGCGTCAGCTCGAGTCGGGTTCTTGGGGATATAGGTACTTAATAGCGGATCGAGGAGGTGGGCGGGAGATTGGGAGATGGGATTTTGCTGGTCAGGATGGAGCGGGTTTGAGGAGGTGTGGCGGAGATATGGGGAGGGTTGTGCATGTTGTTGTGGTGGGGATCGATGATTGTAGATGGGATGTTTGATTCGGTGGGGGAGAATCGTTGTCTGCTTCGCCAGCGCCGTCGCGGGAGTGGAAGTCGTTTGGGGGGGGGTGGAAGATAGATTGGGGGGGATGGGGATGGAGAGGGGTGGAGAGGGATGAAGTATTATGTAGATATTTTTGTTTTACACTATGCCCTTTTCCTACCTCACAAACCCGTTACGTGGCGTACTGGGATTACAGTAATACCGACTTGTCCTAGCTAGTAGACTCGCGGATCTAGTGAGGTGAGCAGACGTCTAGCTACTTCGTTTATTAGTAGATCCGCTTCACCTGCCTATGATATCGCTATCTGAGACCCTAGAGCTCGGCGTATAACCCACCACGTCAAACAAATTATCCTATATCCATCTAATATACGCGACGAACACTATAATCGGGATTTCCCGAAATCGTAGTTTAGGTCAACTAACCCGTTTTATGGAATACGTAGGGATAGAGGAGTGTGTTATATGCTATAAGGTAAGGGGTTAGAGATGTTAGGCTTTCGTGGAGATTGCGTGGTTTGTTCCTTGAATGGGGTGCTGATATATGGGTGGTTGGTATACTGTTTGTTGAGCGGTTTGGTGTTGGTGGTGGTGATGTGTGTGAGGGAGATTTTCGCGGGTGTGTGGGTTTTTGGGAGGGAGAAAGGATGGGTTTGGGGATGGCTGGGGCTGTGCTGCTTTTGGGAATGGGAGGGGGTTTGAAGAAGTGAGGTTTGAGGGAGTTGGGGAGTTGGGGATGGGTGGTAGTGAGGCAGAAGTTTAATTATTAAGTGAGATGGAATTCGAAGGGGCGAGAAAGGAAGATGTTTGACTAAGGTAAGGAATTAAATAGTAGCGATTTACTATCCCTTCCACCTTTCCGCCCAGCGCTCTAATTATTTAACGAATAACAGGGTAATCTATATATTAAAGTAAATAAGTAAATCCTTAAAGCTCTTCTATTAGCAACTGTCTAAAGGTGGCCAAATGTAATACTTTCCGCGGTAAAAAGCTTGAATTACTTCTTTTGGTCCCCGGAGCGGAAAGGTATATCGAGAAGGTAGAAGGGATACGTTTCTAGAGAAATTATTAAGAGGTAGTAGATTTCTTACATTAAGGTTTCTAGGTTTTATATTTACTAGAATAAGATTTGAAATTATAAGGTTATAGCGAATTTAATTTAATTTTAGAATTTATATTATATAAATATTAGATTATTAATAGAGTGTTTTTCTTACTAGTTAATAGAGAGATAAGCTTTTTTTAGAAATTCTAGAAAAATAAGAAGTTAAGAATACGAGAAATGTTTATTTTAGAGATTAGAAAATAGAGAGAGAGTATATAGAATACTAGACTAGAAACTCTTACTATCTACCTTATTCTTGTTTTAATAATATCTATAGTAAGAATATATAGAGAATTTACTTCTCGAATATCTATCTTAGATAACTAGAATCTAGAATTTATAGTTTCTAGATTTGATTTTCTTTAATATACTCTTTCTTTACTAAATATTTTATAAAACATTTAGAAGAGATTTCTCTCTATTTCATAAAACGTTATAGAATAAGTTATAAAAGACGAAACTAGATTAGAATATAAATCAAGGAGGCTTTCATCTTAAATAAAAGGATTGGAAAAGGTATATTTGAAATTATGCCTCTATGTAAATGTTTCAAAAGACAACGAAGATTATGTGTAATAAGCATAATTCTAATAAAATTGTAGCTTTAAAGTTTACGCACTATCGAATGTGTATTGTCAATCACTTAAATTATCATGTCGAGTCTAGCTGATGCTTGATTACCAATATACCAAACTACACGGCAAAAAGGGGGCGTTGAAAACAAGCATCTACAGCTATCATCCTAGATCACACAATTGAGAAGACGACTTGTACAGATATAGGGTAGATGAGTTGGCACGGCTTATAATTTTACTCGATATCCTTCCGTGTAATTTCTGCCCCGCATGATGCTCCATACCAAATTTTCTCTCGACAGCAAAACCTTTCAACATCTTTGATCTGTACTCATTCGGCACACTCCTCATGTCATGTCGGAGCATGATACATATTACATCCAATCTCGACCGACCCTAAACAAAACAAGAAATAAACAGGAGCCATAGAAAAAGCTCGAAAAACAGGGTAAAGCACCTCCCTAGCGCGAAGCTAAAGGGAGGAACGTATTTAAGATCATCCCAGTCCATCCCCCACAGAACTCCCTATCCCCAACCTCTCTCCCCATCCCCCACAAACATACCACCCTACCTCTTCCTCCTCTCCCTCTCCCTCTCCCGTCTCGAATGATGTTCCCTCTCCCTTGGATCCTCCCGTCGTCTCACACTATCCCGATGTTTCCTCGGTCGTGCGGCTTCCGCTTCTTCGCGCGTAGGCAGCGTGATCTCACCGCCGTCATCCTCGTCGAATACCGGTGCGCTGGAGCGGTACGTGTAGTCGTCGGCGGTGGGGGGGTGGTAGGATGTTGTGTCTGCTGCTGGGGTTGAATAAGGCGCTGATGCTGTGGATGAAGAGTAGCGTGCTTGTGCTGTGGATGGGTATGCTGATTCTCCTGCTCGGGCAGTGGATGAGGAGTAGGGTGTTGATGAACACGATGATTCTCCAATATGGCTACTCGAAGTGGATTTATACGTTTCTTCCCTCGGCGTGGGATTAGGATCTGAATCCACGTCTTCATCCGCGGGATACGGATTAGGTGTGTATTGCGATGTTGACGGCTCATCGCCATGGTAGCTGCTTGACGGATACGGTGGCTGCGTGGTGTAGTTTTCTGGATCCCGGGATGCGTCGCTGCGCGGTGAGAATCTGGCGTTTGAGCTTGAGCCTTCGGTGCTGGAGTAGGTGCTTGTTGATGGGATGGCGGTGGATTGATAGCGGTTTTCGAGAGGACTGCTGGGTGAGGTGGTGTAGCGAGAGTCGGAGACGATGGGAGGTGTGTAGCCCGCTGTATCAGTAGCCTGTGTGCCATATCCAGTGCTGGATCCCGCGATTGGTACTCTGTAAGTATCACCGCCGTAACCACTGGGCTGTGATCCGAAGCTGCTTGTTCGGTCATGCATGGATGGACTTGAATATCCGCCACGAGTATCCGCGTCGTAGGTTTGACTACCGCTTGCAAATGCTGTTCCAACCCCCGCAAGATCAGACGCGTCTTTATGCGGATTGACGTCTGTTTCTCTGGGGTAATTGACCTCCTCATAATAGTCCAGGAGAAGCTCTAGCGAGTCTCGATCCAGAAGACCTACGTCCATGACTTTGACGTTCGTTTCAACCGTATACATACAACCGTAATTGATGAGTGAAGGATCTTTGAGAGGATCGGCGTTTTTGGAAAGAATAACTTTCAGGGCCTTTTTGGTGATTTCTGGAACACTTCTCGGTCGTTTCGAACTGTAAATGGGGCCATGCTCACTGATATCGATCTCTGGTTTCTTAAACCCTTTCCCCTCATACGATGTCACAGGAAGACAGGTACAAGACCTGGCTCTCTGTTTCACAACCACAAACCTTCGGATTTTTGTATGAACCTTCTCTCCATATTTAACATAACTGGTAAACGTTTCGTTATTGTTGGTCATTCCAGATGCCGGCACGGTCCACAATGTACTGAAGACTCTTCCTGCCTGAAAGAACTTTTTGTAATCCTGATTTCGAACTTTGTATCTCGAGTCGAGCTTTTCTCTGTCCCCAGAAGTTCCGGCAACGTATCTGTGTGCTGGTGACTGGGAGGTTCGGTGATCTGTTTGCGGCATTGAATGCATATCTCCGCCACTTTGGCCTCCGTAATTGGAGCTATATTGCTGAGACATGTTCGGAGCATTGCTCGTTTTGTCGTAAGAGTAGCCCACGCTCGGGTAGCTTGTTTGATTCTGAAATGAAGGATTAGTTGTGGCAGTACCGTATCCTGTAGACACGGTATATTTGGTCGTGGTGGGCTCATTTAGAGTCATTGAGTTCATCTGTGCAGCCATGGAGACACCTGACGGTAAATCAGATGGAGAAGATGGCCCCGACATAGAATATCCCTGGGAGGGTTGATTGCTGGTGGCCGGCCCTCCATGATAACCGGCGGCCACTGGTTGGGCATAGTCATAGCTACTCGATTGACCCTGAGGATTTCCATAACCACCTTGGGTGTGGTAACTACTCGATTGTCTTTCCTTTCCAGACGATCCAGCCGTTGGGTATGCTTGCCTTGAATCCCATTTTGAATCTCTTCGTGGTTGGTGCGAAGAAGAATAGGACACCGATTCTCGTCTATGTGGTGTTTTACTCGAAGATCGTTTTGAAGAGGAAGTGTAGCTTCGAGGAACGTTGGAACTTGAATAACTATAATTGAAAGTAATTAGAATCGTTGCTTTGGAATTAAATCTTCCATTACCTACCTGCCATGTTGGGTCGACGAAGAACTTTGGCTTTGCTGCCACTCATCTTCATATCGTCGAATATTCCGTCCCGCTTGGCTCCGTTAGCTTGTTGTACGTAGTCAGTCATCTAGGGGAATATCCATACTTTCATCCCTCGAATTCACATACCATCGACTCGTCTCTGTCTCCCAATGCCAGTCCTGGGGAGCACTCGACATTACTGAGTCATGGTCGTCACGTATGACTGATAAATTGACAACAGAGTTGCTGTGGCAAGTCGTCTATTAATCCAGGAAGGAGCTCTGGTTTGCCTGCGGCTCTTTTCTTGCGACATAGTGAGTAGGTGGGGTTACCAGACTCATCAGTGAGCGGACCACGTCGTCTTGCAGGCCTGGAAGGCGGGGATGTTCAAGAGAGGATGCACAGTACTCAAGCAGATGCGAACATTTCGGGGTGGGGGAGCTTACCGTTTGGCTGCTTTCTATAGTATTTCGCAGTCATCTGATAGGTGAAGCCGTCACATGCCAGGACTGTTATGGTCTTCGGAAGGAGAGCAAGCAGCGGATAGGATATCGCCTGGGGAAAAGACGAGGTCAGAGTGGAAGAGTGGGTTTAGAGTGGAGCGGGTAAACGCAAGACGGAGATGGCGAGAGTACTGGCCGCATTGTGTGCGAACTCCTCGATGATAATGGTACTTGCTGTACTTTATCGTATGCAAATGCAACTGTCGAGGACTAGGCTCCCCTTATTACTTTAAAGTACCGATCGATTAACTTCTGCGCTCGGTTCAGCCTGCGGCATGAGACTAAGCACCCCAAGAGCTCCATAGAGTAGAGATAGATTGTAACGGTGCAATGCTTATCTGCTTGCTATGGATGAAATCAGTGCCATAGTTATTAAATAATAAGTACCGGAGTGAGAGGAGGTGTTCTTACCATTCTCCGAGTCCATCCTTGGGAATAATCTAGTTGCCGGTCCAAGCGAGTTAATTGACTTCTAGAACTCCCTGAATTTTTCGGGGAATCAGATTCAGGGAGCTGGCAGGTCCAGCTTCAGATTCCAGGCCCGATTTGTAATTCTGGAATGCACTGACATGCAGCCCTGCCGCCGAATGCACGCTGGAGATCCTCGCCAACCCACGCCTGAGCGTTTCTTCTTCGCTTCCCTGTCATCCCCAGAGACACGTTGTGACGCCAACGACAAGGGCCACGCTGCTCTCTCTCCCCATGCAGAGAGACGTGCATGCTGCAACTCCAGGCTTGGGGAAGGAATATGAGGGGAAGTTGCGCTGTGATCTATTCGACGTGAGGCTCTGTCCAGCGTTCATCTGGGGCGTGGCTTTCGCTCTCTCATCCTCATGTCAGCTCAGCGAGTGCGAGCGTAACAGTGGCACATCCCGTTTCAGGCGCTGTACCTCCTCCGTCCGCCTCACTTACGGCTGCTCAAATTTCGGGGATATTGCCAGAGTGGCAGCCCGCCGTCCGGAATACGTGAACATGACGACCTCTTGAATTATCACCACCCTTCTCTCAGGTACCTGCACTACATTCAACTAAACACAACACTGATGAAGGAGACCTGGTTTCCATGGCAGATGGCACCAGACCCAGGTCCAGCAATTGCTCTCAGACCTACGCGATACATCATCCACCTCTTGTCCTCGAGACTCTGCGACTGCCCGCAAGAGAGTCCGCAGCATCCCTTGATCTAAGCTGTAGTCTGCCGACTGTCTCGAGGACCAAGAATGCAAACGAAGCGCGAGCGGTGAGAGTTGTTCCTGACTTCGATAAAGAAGGGCACCTTTCTCAGCCGTTGGAAGGAGCAGAGCTGGAAAATGAGTACGAAACTGGGCTGGAAAACAGAGAACATGCAATGGTTGAGCCGAGAACTCCTGAGGCAAAAAGCAGACATAAATCATTCACATCTTCTCCAAACGGATCAGCGACTCCACGACCGACTCAGCATCCCATCACCACCCCTCGATCCATACCAAGAAGTCCAGTGGGCAACAAGACACCACCACGACAAGACTCTTCCTACTTCTCGAACCAAGAGCACAGCGATGATGATAATTCAATGGCAGGCTCCAATCTCGGGGTACGGAGAATGAGAAATCGACATGAGATATCCCTTCTTCGCGATAAAGTCCAGCGGACGCGGCGCATGGTAAGAGGCCGCAGAGATAAATTGTCGGTGTTGCGAGAGAATTTCCGAGACGCTGCAGACGTGTTGATGAGACGTGTCAACCGGACCGTGGCTTTTGGGTCCATTGAAAAAGAGCTAGGACCCGACCTTGAGCAGCTGCGGAAAGCGCAAGACGCGCTTGGACTAGCAGAAAACGAGTACGATGATTTTGAAAGGCAACTTGAACAGGAGGAACGACAATTGGAAAATGAAGAAATCTTTTTCTATGATGCTCGAAGCTCATCTCCATCGGAATCGGGTATGGACGTGGAGTCCTCCTTAGGCCAATATGTTCCACGAGAAACGGAGTCGCCATTTCCTAATTCGGACGATGAGGAGTCGGAACATGATCCTGTGCAAGAATATTTACGAAAGATGGCAGAGGCGCATTACACAAGAGAAGACTTAGATGCGCTTGAAGAAGACGCGTATCGTTTCTCCACAGATGTCGAGTTCCGTGACAAGCACGACGTCTGGCTACCCGAAGAAGCAACGAGTTTTCTTTCCGATTACCCCAAAAGACATGTTGAAATTGAGTCGAGTTTGCAAAAAGTTGAAGCTGAGCTGTTCGCACTACGCACGCTATGTATCAAAGACGGTTTGTTTGCTGAGGATGAACACGTTTATCAACCACACGACGCACTGCTCGAGGATGTATGGGATTCAATATACGACGCCGAAGACCGCTCGCCGCTTCGTCTGGCATCGTCTCAGGTCTTACTCAAGGAGAAAGAAATCAATTATGAAGACAAGAGAATTTTTGTGAACCATTGGATACTTAAATGGGTACAGGATTCAACTTATGAATGCCTGCTTCTAAAATCTTGGATCTTCTCAACATGTCTAGAACGATTAGGAAGCGACGAGGGGCTTGAACACAACTGGGCGAGACTCGCACTAGAAAACTGGGATCTGGACGAGGCAGGATCACACGCAGACGTATTCAACAGTGCCAGTATGCTAGACGTGATCGCTGGAGAGACGAGGAGAATCAACGCGAGTATTGGGATATCCGACTTTTCTGGGTCTTCTTGGAGAAGTTCAGATATCGATCTTGATGACAATCCGAAATTGCAGCAACCTCCTGCAAGCAGCGAAAATGGGTCATTCCATACCAAAGAAACCTCCGTTTTAAGTGAGGGAAAGAAGCTAACGAGGTCTGCGAGCCTGTAGCAAGGAAACTACTGACTTCAACATCCCATGAATTTTCCCGAAGCCAACATCAAAGATACTTGTTTCTCCGCAAATTTCTGTGTTCATTTCAACATCAGCAAACACTATTCTAAACATCACTATCAAATTATCGCACCCCATTACCACCAACACCACCATCAAACACTTACCACCCACCACACAAACGAAACAACCTGTAAAACCACCAACAACATGTTTACACACTCGGACCTCCAGTCCCGGCCAGGGAGAGGGCCATACGTCTTTCATCTAATCTCTCCATCTCCTAATTCCAACGAATTTCCTTTGTACAACCACAAATCTCTAGCGAAACGGGGTCACAGCACAATAGACTGCACGAGCAATTTTGAGAAGGAACAATGATATCTATGTACACATATTTGCAATTGGGAATTGGGATATAGGAAATCTGCTGTGGGCGTTTTCGGAGGTTCTTTTTGATACCCGCGGTTTTTGGCATTTTGTATCTAGTAGATAGCGGAATTGAATATATGCAGATAACGTTTCGTAAAACTGAAAGCAAAATTTGTGAGTCTCAGCCTCGAGCCCTTTCCAGCCGCGCGACATGCTCATGGTTCTGGGATTAAATCTGAAATGAGCTGTCATCTCGCCTCTTACCGCTCTTCGAATCGGTGATCATGATTTCGGTTGTTCAAACGCTAGCTTCGTCCCGCGATGTGGCGTCTGGGGTTTAGAAAAGCTTCGATCATCGTATTTTAAGCGGCGGTGGGAGGGTGGAAAGGGGGTGGTTTTTGGGTTGGGTGGATGTGGGTCTAGCTTTGAGATAGGCGAGCCTTTTAATATTTTGGAGACCGGTTCTCTTAGGTCGAAATTATTGCGGTTGGCAGGTGTAGAAGTGTGGAAATGGCAAATAAATGACTGATCTTCGATGATTATTTGATCACTTGTTACCATTGGCTTACCGTATTGATGGTGTGGGAAGGCTGCAAAAACAAATGCAAGCTACCGGTAAATAATTCGCGGCAGCGACTAATAGGTCTGTCATTAAAACTAATAGAACGTGCTGCATATTGCAGCATCAAGGAGTGTCCAATCCAACCTTGAAAAACAGATAAATGAAACTGTGCTCAAAAACCATAGCACTGTCGATTTCGAGTCGGTGAAGAATCGTGGCTGTCGTTACTTGGTTATTTCTAGCGAGTTGTCGCGCTAGTTTCAGTGTGAGTTATCGTGGTAGCAAGACATATTGAATTCGTAGCTGCTGAAGTATCCCAATTGGAAATGTGACAAATGAGATTCATTGCTCATAGCCAAAGAAGTTGAAAGAGCATCCAATCAAGAGAATTCAGAAAAGAAAACGTAGATTTGTGGCCAGCACGAAAAGGTCGATGTTGATGGAACATTGACGGCATGAGTGATTCTCAACCTTGTGTTAACAAGGGAGATCGGGTGGTGGTCTGCAAAGTGCAGGACCTGGTTTCTCCATGGCTAATGGATGCTGAGCTAAGTCTGTTAGTTTGAATCATTGTAATTCTCTTTGTTGGAGTTGCGTACTTAGTATTTAATCGTCGTAAATATCATCGTGGTGTTCGTAGCTTTCGTAATGTGACGGAAGTGGGCCCTCGTCACGATCTTGCTGGCTATCGTTCGAATCTGCGTGGCCGATATGTGCTCCAGGAAACAATGATGTATTAACCGCATATGTTGCAGTGGTGGCATACATTGATGTATCGCTTCCATATGATCCAGAATACGCTAATGTATTAGCCCCATATGCTGCAGGATACGCTGACGATGTATGCCCGCCCTGTTGAGTCGTGGTGCTATAAGTAACCGTGTACGGCGCTGGGGTGCGTGGCTGCTCATAATAACCTTGCCCAGAGCTGCCTTGCTGACTAGACCCAGCATTGTTGGTGTTGGAGGTAGTTACGTTCCGGAAACTGGCTCCAGCGCTGTAATCACCATACGCAGTCGAAGACCCGCCAAGCCCTGTTGCATTGGAGCCACTATTCTCATATGCTGAACTACCACGCCCTGATGCGGTAGATGACATTTCATGATTTGGACCTTCGTCATAGGTGAGAGCCGCACTAGTCCAGCTCCTGAACTCGTTCAGCTGTGGATGGATCGAATTATAATTGGCGACCACCAGCCAGGTCCAGTCCGGGTGAATTCTCCCAATGAACTTGACCTTCACATTGTATTCGATGGTGTATATCTTGGCATAGTTAAGTCTAGAGGCGCCATCAAGCCTATAGTTGGGTTTATCTGGTACCATTTTGATAGGTTCCCGTTTGAGTAGATTTTCCTCGCCAGGAAGGGGTTTTGGTGGATATTCGCCGGTATAGATCATAGTATGATGATCAGCATGCACACCGTGCTTGGTGAGCCCTTGATTGCCATATGTGAGAATGGGTCTATTCAGTTCAGTAAGTTATTTTCTTATTGAAGTGCTGGATACTTACAGAGCACTGCAATGACCATCCGACGGCTTGACAATGAGAAATCGGCGTTGTTTAGCAAAATGGTCTTTCCCGTCTGGGCCATGTCGACGCTCGGCAGTAATGACTGTGTTGCTTCCTCTACTACCTCCGCCGCCTCTAGGTTCTACCCAGTTCATTACCAAAACCTTCCCTTCTTTGAAATCTCGTTGCCTGTGAACCTTGTATTCTTTAGAAAGTTAGCCTTAGTATGTGATTCCACAATTCTTTTTCATACCCGGTCCCCCTAGAACATTGTTCTCGTATGTCTTTTCAGGGTGCCGTGTGCGGATATGTTTGCCCAATTTAGAGGGTTTAACAGGCAGAGCATCATTTAGACTGGTGTTTTGCAGACCATGCGCTAGATTTTCAAATTCGTTTGGGGGTGCATCCAAGGTATAATTCTTGTCTGATGGCGAATGGGGAGACTCTGCGATCGGGGATGAGACCGTTGTATCCTCAATTGGTAGAGAAGCTGCAGTATTTGGGATGGGCCAAGAGGCTTCATCATTTTCTCCATAGGGAGGATCATATTCGTCCTGCCAAACATCTGTCACGTAAAATCAGCTTTGCAGCCTCGTGTGACCTATTCAGGGAGCAATACCAGGGGCAGTCTCGCGACTAGAGATTCTTCGCCCGGACTGGTCATCATACTTCCACTCCGACCATGGTGTCGGATATTTTCGTGAGGAACTTCCTGTTACATCATTCCTATACGACTGGCCTCTCGACGGTCTTTTGGTGGTTTTCGAGTTCCGTCTATGAGACATGTTTTGTTGTCTAGATTCCAACTCCCCAGGATGCGAGTATCCGCTCCATTAAGCTCGTGCTCGCCTTCTTAAGGGAACCGGGCCATTGGCAAAAAGGACCCGTCCGTTGAGCCTCATAGCCCAGAGGTCTGCAACCCTTATCTTGGCCTTGCGCTCAATCATGTATTAATTCGACGCCATGTATGGTTGGAATCGGGTGGTTGCATGGTCTCGGCTTCTAAAGGAGAGTGATCTAAAAAGGGGGCTAGTTGATTCGCTTGAATAAAGTGGATACGTCTTCGGGTAATGCCAGCGAGTGCTGCTTTTGTCCGGCTCTCCAATCAAACCTCTAGCAAGGGCAACGCGCTTTCAAGGCGCGGATGCTCATACCTTATGGACGTGGTAGCATGTGCCATCACCCAGACACCCGACTTGTTTTGCTACTTCTTCCCAGAATCCACAAGATCATGATACGGACTGCTGGTACCCATAGCTGTACCCTATATCCCTTCTCACAGTAATAAGGTTACCACTTCAACTAAAGGGCAATCCTCGTCAATCAACAACGCGAATGTAGCTCTAATGTGGTCGAAGAAGTCGGGGGATTGGGAAGACAGGCTAAATAACGGATGGCGGCCTGATGCTTCTCGATCAGCAGCATGGCTCTGGGAGCAGAACAAGTCATACAAACGCAAACTGACAACTCTGGGTATCCCTTGGACACTGGCGGAAGATGATGGGTATTTGCGCAGGAAGCCTACGGGTTCACTTGCTTCCCTCGAGCGTTTGCCCAAGGAAGACCGTGTTTGTACAGAGAACAGTGTTGGCACTGTTGTTTACCAACAGAAAGCGCCGTCTGTAAAAGAGGAGGCCAAGCTAGAGGACACATCTTTCAACAGATGTGATGATAAAGATGCAGCCCTACCCAATGCAACAGAAACCCGACCAGTGATCCGGCCTCAGATAACAAATATCACTATCCCACCGCCAGTATATCCAGCAGCTCCACCGTCACCTGATGTAGAATCTCCTCAGAGAAAAGAAAATTTTGTTGATAGCTCTGTAGATCATACAGATAATAGTTCCCAAACTTCAGTCGAGACTTCTCATCCACCGCCTGAACAGGCGGTCGATCCAATGTTGACACCTTTCGAAATTTTGTGGAAGCGCTACCAGAGACAACGAATCAATACTTGGACGCTACGAGCAGAAGTCCACAGGGCTCGAAGCAAATTGAGAGGTATTCAACAAATGAAGGCGGCCGCGGACGATGCGTTTTTTCGGCTTGCGACGGCGGAGATCCTTCTGGGTCCGAACCCTGGTGCAAGATCCTCGAGTTTGCACCAGAAGAAGTTACAGGATCTGATGCAGGAATGTCAAGCTCTTCGCGATGAGTACGGGCCGCTCGAAAACGACTGCACTCTTCTTGAAGAGCGCCTCAGCAGGGAAGAATCAAAGCAAAACGAGCTCGAAGAAGAGTTTCACACGCGCCTGGAGCAGCGACTCCCTGAACTGCAAAATGGACCTATAGCAAAAAATCTTCGCGAAAAATCTCCTATTCCAGAAGCTAAAATTGGAGATCTTGGGGTTACCAACCTTCATCCACTAGCGGAACAATTTTTGTTCAAGTTAGGAGACTTTTATATGTTGGATGAACAATACAACGATATGATAGATGAAAGGCAATACCTCGAAGAGGAGAGCGCGAGACTACGAAACGTCAACATGTCTCTGGTGCCAAGTGACCAAGACTTTTTGAACGAGTTCGAAACAGAGGAGCAGAAACTGGCTCAGAGACTTAACGCTCTTGAAAGCGAGATTGAAATAATGCGAAAGGACTGTCTTGCAAGAGGACTCATAGATGAATTCGACGAGCCAACGTCAATGATGAGCCAAGAAAAATCTCATTTCAAAGCAGAGAAAGATTTGAATCCCAACAACAACGTGTCTGAATATGCCAAATTTCCCGTCCTACTACCTCGTCCTGGTAGTAAACCGGAGATTGAGGTCGATATAGAGTCTGTGGAAGAAGACAAGCCACAAAGTCGTGTCAATCAGTGGTTATTAGATCAGCTTCGAAGCTCGCCTTTGGATGTCAGACTGCTTGCTAGCACATTTGAGAAAGAGGGGGGAGGAGAACCAAATGATCGGTGGCAATTCCACGTGTTGTCTGTCTGGTTTAGAGACGAAACTCTCTACAGCACCGCTGCTTTCGGGGCATATTCGTCGAGTTTGACGACACATGCACCGCCTCGATCGAGCAATTCTTCAAATTATCATTTTTAAAGTGGTTCGACCACTCGTCGACTGCTCATGCAATTATTGGTGTGTTAAGGCGACATTTTGGAACCCCGAATTAGAGCTTTGCTATGGCTCAATCCTGCAAACGAGTTGATCTCACTTCTCTACTATCTTTGTTCTTTTTCCTTTCCTGTACGATTCTATTCACCCTCTTCTTCTTCCTCCTGTGGAGTTTTGCAGTTTATTGGCGCGGAGTTATGGGTATAGATTGCAGTTTTGCGTATTGTTAGCATTTGATACCCCTTGCAGACGGATGGCAAGTGTAACTATATTTTTAGATGGATTTCATTTGTCGAGTTGGATTTTTAGGTTTTCTATCTGCTCTTATTGTCCATATAAATAATATGTTACTTTGACGAATTTCCTGCGTCAACGGAGTTTTCTGGGATTAGACTCTTGGCTAGGACAGGTGTGAGCGTTGTAGGATGTAATGGAGTCTCAATTCTAAACTGGGCGGTTTGTCTCTCGATGTATTTCTTGGTTTTTTCGATGAATTATCGATGAATTGGGGCTGGTCATTGTGACATTCTCGAAATTTGCGGGGTATCATTTTTATATTGAAACGTCAAATCTCAAATTCGTTTTTCTCCTGTTGACCTAAAAATACTGCACAATTGAGCCGTCTCGACAATCTGGTTCAATTGACCAAACGATCGGCAGAAGTTCATTCCCAGCAGTTTGGTCGCAAAACCACTTGCATCTTTACCCCCACTTTATCCCCAATCCCTCCCCCACGCCGTTTCTTATGCATCAAGTATTTCCAGAATTACGGACCGCCCGTCAGATGGTCAAGGCTCAAAGTCATTGCTGAGATGATGTGGATCAAGACATGCCGGGCGATGACTTGCATTGTCAAACATTGCAATATCAAAAATTCTTGTGTTACAGTGAGACGAAGACGACAACCCCGTGATTCCATTCAAAAGGGCGATTTCATTTTCAGCCTAGCTCTATAATGTCCAACCATAAGAAGCCGATTGTAAGCTTCAGCCTTGTCAATATTGCGTACCACCAAGACCTCGCCCGAACGAACACACGCAAGGCACAAAGTCGTATAGAATAGACGGACACCCCATGGATTTTCAGCCCGGAGACCAACACCCAGACAGCCTCAAAACAAACAACCTCGGCGATCTCCATGGCCTAGGCGAACCTACTATTCCTTACATCTACCAACAAGACTTCACATCAGTGAAGAGTCACGTAGGCAACAGTCCCCTTGAACATCTACCTAATTAATCGCCTCCCCATTCGAACTCCAATCCTGTAGAGATAGTGTTGACGTACTTGCAAGCCTCGTTGTAAGCGTCAACCTCTACTCTCCTATCAGCTTACTCGCATGATGTCGCTTGCGTTCACGTCGTTGCACAACATGCTGCACTTCGGTTACACACTCCGCCAAGAGCGGTGCGGATTTCTGAGCACAGCGCCGCCCTTGGATAGGTGTGCTATGCGTTAGGTCTCGGAGTCCGATGTCGACGAATGGGGATATGTGGTGTTAAGATATGTGGGATTTGAGAGTAGGGGCAAGGTACGTTTGCGGCGTGTCGCGAAGTTGAGTCAATGTGATGACATATCGGGATTAGTAGGCCAGGAAATGCATTTCAAGCGGGATACGTCTTTTAAATCATAATAACATTGTCGTGAGATGTTTAGATTGAAGATGATTTATGTCATCTTTTTGTTTCGAAGATGGATATCATGATCTTATGTATATTTAAGATTTTATTCTCAAACTTTGAATGGGCTGTCTGAAAGATCTGTATGATTATATAGATCCAATAACTTATTGACAGTCCTCTTTTTCTCTCAAAACATTCTCCATCTTGTAGATCGCAGTGAATTCCAGTCAGTACCTACAGGTAGGTTCTATATGCAACTACAAGCGAAGCCTCGCTTAGCTCATGGTTGGACTTAGAAGTATCACCTTAACCTATGTGATGCGGGGCCTGAATCGTTCAGGAAGCAATGTAGCAATACTGAGGTTAAATTATGGATTGTGCAGTTTTCAGTTTCAATCTAACTAAATCACTAGGTAGCCCCTTACTCTCCAGGTCTTTTGCGAGGGAGCTGTGGGAGAAAAGGATGAAATAGAAATTTCTTTTCCCGATCAAACATCAACCAAACTTCTGCAAAAATATCTACAAGTCTAAAGATTCAAGGAATCATGTTTCAAACGTTTGAAATGCCAACAAAGTCCTTGCATCGTTCAACGTATTTCTTTACGGACCGAAATAATTAAGCGAGCTGTTTCAGGTGTTTGAGCTCCAAACTCTATTACGTATAATCGAAAGGGCAAGGTGCATACTCCTACATCTATCAATAGTTTATTGCAGTAGTTAGGCCTCAATGCAAATGCAGTGTTACATGTGTGGTGATTCAGAACTGACCAGAAATGAAGCCATTCCCCTGACGGGTGGGGGATCTTTGACACGTTTACGAAATACGGTCTTGAATTATATCTCAATATATACTTGGCATGCGTAGATAGTATGTTTTTTGAGAACCGGAAGTCTCAATGGACAGCTGGAAAGTTGGGTTTGTAAATTCTTACCTCACCAGTTACGCTGTAGTCGAAGTCTCTGGATCTATAGATTAATTCATGCACCCATAAAGACTTGGAAGACACAAATAAACTTTCTTAACTACCGAGAATAACTGGCTTTACACCCCCTACTTCCTTTGAAAAGTCGGTATAAGGGCACTTGTTGCCAATTCATCTATTTCCCGTTCGGAACGTAAACATACCTTTCGATTCCCTTCGATATCCTGCCCGAACAACACAGAGCCTCATGCCATCGAACAGCGACCAGTGGGATTATAATGAAATTACCGAGAAGAGTCGGTGTAGAACCCATTGTTGCACAACCTTTGCATCCTTTGCTCAACGTGGGCTTACTTCAGCCACCCAAGTCCCGTAGTTATCGTGAACATTTGCCAACCCGGAGCTATTTCCTCTTAATGTGATAGAATAGCCGCCACTTACGTTGATTCAGGTACTCAATTTGAAACGACACTCATAAAGTATAGATCTCAGTTCTGTCTAAAAGTAGCGAGAAGAAAGTATGGGCAGAAACAAAGCTCAGTTCGGTTACCGACCAAAAGTCAAATATATGAAATGTAAAGAACCTACTCCAATAACGGTAGCAGACTGGCTAGGTGGTCCAACTACCATCCGCATAACAAATACATTCATTTCGTTGGGTATTGCCATTTCTCGACTACTGTCACACGAAATTTAAAACTCACGACCTAGCCAATTTCGCTATGGTAACCCCGGCATTCAGAAGATTCATCATTCCTCCCAGCATCGCACAACAGCATAAGCACGGCACCGGAAATATATCCCTTAGTTCCGTTCCTTAACTGCACATTTCTATCACAATGACCTGATCGCAACCAGCGTGGTTCCTGTATCAAAGTTACCGGTAAGAAATTCAACCACATACAATCACTCATGTCAAATTTGACAACACCAACAACATTCTACCCCAAGAGCAAATATCATAGCGCAAACCCAACAAATATCCAACCTCCCGATATATGATAAACCTCCCCATTACGAGTTCTCGAACCAACAAAACAGCGCTTATGCTGCACGCACCCAACGAGAAGACTCATTCCCCGCATGCGGTGCCACCCACCGTGTACCGAAAACGAACGGAAGTGCATGAAAACCCCATGGCACAATGTTAATCCCCATGCAAAACCCGAGAATAAATGCTCGAAGGCGCTTTGTGGCTGGCTGGAGACAGTGATTCTTGGGATTGGTGAAGAAGTTCGTGATATGCGTTGAAGGTTGATAGTACGGACTGTTTGAGTATCTTTTCGGATGGGAAAAGAGTTGTGAATTGCTACCGACTTTTGGCTCTATTCTGATAAGGAGTCTATTCGAGAAAGATGTTTGAAGAAACAATCATGACAACCAGAGGGTCAACTATACTTTCAAAACAAACCACGAAAACCACAATCTTACATCCCCCAAAATACCCGTATCAACTCCTCCCCATCCCAGCATCACCAATCCATCACATGTCCACCACCAACCCCACCAACAAACGCAATTGCCCACGCCCACATGCCTGAAGATATCGCATCAGGTTCTCATGCATACGCCCCCTGGCAGGGACGGCCCGTATAGTGGGCCTCTACTAAGACACCACTCTGTGGCACACGTCGCGGCAAAGTGAGGCTTGCGAAGGCGGGGGTGTCTAGGGCAGCGAGTTGCGATAAAGAATTGCTGGATTAGGAAGTTCGGGTTGGCGTGTGATTGGTGTTATTGGGGGAAGATTTCAATTGCCGAGATGAGTTCGTGGTGTTGCTTTCTGTAGATGGGGGTGGGTTTGATGGGATGTAGATTATGTTATCATTGTATAAATGAAATGGCTGCTGATGCTTTGAAAACTCATTTACGATCGATTGCGAATTACGTTTGGGTTCAAAATATTCCGTGAGCAGAAGAGGTCCCAAAAAGTCGACCAGACAGCTGCAAAGTGAAGCATGAGCTCGATGTACTGTAGGTGATCGCGCAGCTGAAATGCGCACCAGTTGGGAAGAGCATATCTTTAGATATCATGCACGCCGGCATAAATATAGTCTCTGCTTGCCCAAAGGAAGACGTGCTAAAGCAGCAGGATCTCGGTGAATTGATTTAGGGGGGAGATTTACTTACAGCGGAAAATGACTCGTGCCAGTTAATTTGTTTGAGATAAATCACCACATGAGAAAAGCTTCAGCAAACCATATGAACGAAATATTCATGAGGTCAGTAGCAAGGAGCTATCTGATTTGCAAAGCCGGCCCATTTTCGAGGAAGTAAGCTGAAGATATATACTAAACTGGGCTAAATTTTGACCTAAATATGATCATCAACACAACTGATCGAATCTCATTGCAATGGAACCAGCTCCTAGTTTCCAGATATGCAAGGAATCATTTGTGTACATTTGATCTAAGATTCCATTCCTATCGAGAAAGTAGACTAACCGAGGAGTGTACAAATGAATATATACTGTTAGACAATAGACTGTAGCGTAGAACAATGGCCGTCAGAAGATACTATCAACGGAATGCCTGATCGAGATATAGGATCTTCCAATCGAAGCTAGATCCTGAGATAAGCCTCCAATGACTATTAAATAACATGACAGTGGCTTGAAAATAGCTCCAACATGGTGCAACGTATGAACTGAAAGCTTCGAGAAGCAATTGCAGTAGACAATTTCGAGAAGCGAGAATTCGATCTTCGCGAAACATCATCGTCGAGGTCGTCGGGTCTCTTTCCCTTTCCTATGTCCACTCGAACTGGATGGCTTACTTCCCTTTTCTGGTTTGTGATTTGTGGGTTTTTGAATCGGTTGGGACTGTGGACGGACATAGGAGTTTGCGTTCAAGGTAGACAGCCAGTCTTTCTCCACCATGCCGATTTTCAAGACGCGTACGTAATTTTCAATTGTGTATATCTTGCTGTAATTCAGTCGTGAAAAGGCGCCGAGATCTCCTTCTGGTCCTTCCTGTTCCCTTCTGACCTTGATAGGATCCTTGGTGAGATTCTCTCTTACGATTGTATCGTCATTCGCAACATACGAGTACTCTAGTGGGCACTTGTCGCTAGTGTATATAATTGTATGCTGATGTCTTTCTGGGAGATTTGCTTTCAGTGTCGCTTGGCCATTGTAAGTGTGAATTGGGCTATTTAGTTAGCAGACGCCAATTAGGCTTGTGACATGATATAATTCAAACTCACGAGCATATGCTATTCCCATAGCCTTCCCTCATCACAACAAAACGTCGAATCTCGCTGTATACCCCTTGCTCCAACCAAACAGTACTGTAATGCGTACCGTTCCGAGTTCCACCCATTGAAGTCTTAGCGGGTTCCGTCCAGAGCATCATAAACACCCTCCCAACACGCCAAAACTTCCGTTGATCTTTATCAGAAACTACGCGATAACCTTGATAAAGTCAGCAGTCCACACTTTTATGATTCCCAACCTCATAAACCACCAGCACTCAGACGTCGATGGCTATTGAAGAGAAAAGCTTACGAGGATCTAATTGCTCTCGATCTGCGGAAGTTGTTGGGTTTCTGATAATGTTTTGTGGCGTATCGGAATATTCTAAACGAATGTCAACTTGGCGACGCAGTCCCCATATCAGGACACACCTTCTTCGGGCACTGCAGCCGAACTACTCAGAGACATGTCGTTAAACGCAGTTGATAATCCATCGCCCTGGTTATAATAGCCACTTTCGTAGCTTCTATTGCCATAGTTATTGCTCTGCGAGGCATATTGATATTGAGAAGAGCCACTCGAAGACCCATACGCGTTATAACTGCTACTAGTCGAAGCTTTTGACAATGAAGATGTCAGCTGAGGGGAGAAGGTGACCATTGCTCCACCGGAACTTGTAGCTTGCCCCGTAGGTGACGCGACTGTGTAGTTGTCCGAATTGGAGGATGATGTCTGGTAATCTCGTGCGTTGGCGTTGCTAGGATAGTCATCTCTTGATTGTCGAGTTGTGGAATAATAGTTGTCCTCGATATGGGGAGCTACACTGGATAATGAAGTGGATGAGTTGGAGGTATCGTTCAGCGATACATTGTCGCGCGAGCTGCGAGGTGTCTCCTCTTGCTGTGAAGAGCTTTGGGGATAGGAACGCTCAATTTGGCCGGCTGCGTTGGTCCTGCTATAATACCCGCCTCTCTCATGCCAGCTCCACTCGGAGCTTCCTCGACTCTTTTCAACATTCTTCCCTTTGCTGCTGGTAGTCCTTGAAGGGCCCATTGTGCAAGAAGAGATACAGGAACATAGGAGGTGATCTTTTATGGTACCAGGAAATGAAATAGGGCTGCGTTAGCCATGCTCCATCGTGTCTGCTTAAGAGACATATCAATGAGTACTTTTGACGCAGCATTTGCCGTCGACTTCACTGCACCTCGTCGAAACCGGTACATTATAGCGCCATTGCCCCCTTACCCACACCTTCAAGATAGAGAGGGGTGTATGTTGATGATCCGTTGCGCAAGTATCCTGTAAAAGTGGTTCATTAGGCCGCTTCTCAATAACATGTTGCATCGCTGCTTTAGTGGGCTAGGATACGTTAATCTAGGAGTGTTTGTCGGGCACCTTTCCGGCTCTACTCAAACTAATGGATAAACCACTATATACGTAGATGGCTTCCGTGCCCATCTTAGATTTCTACAACTTCTCAATCATCGCAGTTGCTTGTTGGAAGACATTCGTTACACACCTGGACGCAGCTTGCGACAATTGAGTCGACGAAAGGATAACAACCATGCTGCCCAAGACGAGCCTAATCCAAGGCCTGTAATATTGGGCCGGAATTCCGATTCCAATCGGTTGAAGGTAGGACGAGCTATGCTACGTGGACATCGGGGTGGCATCCTGTGAGCTGACAGCAATTGCAGCGTGGCGAGACAAAGCAAATCATCCGAAGATACATCGATACAACCTGGCAATATGGTGTTTTCTGCGACGACTAATAAAGTCAGGTGGACTTCCAGAGAGTTAAAACACTTCGAAGACCTAGATGATATCGAAACGAGATGGTCGGGAATAGACATCCCAGTTGTGGATCCATTGCGCATGTTGACGTTGATGCAAGGATTGAAATCCATCGCCACCCAACAGATGGACGTTACCAACGCTCAGATTGAATTTCGAGAGAAAAGACGAAAAGCATCATTCCAGCGAGAAGTAGTATCGAACTGTGATGCCAAATTTATGAAGGTGTTGCAAAAGCTTGTAGTAAGTGGTTGTCGACAGGAGGGAGACATTGTCGAAAACCTCCAGGGCTTAGTAGCTGAATGCCAGGCAGCACGCGACGAGCTAGGTCCACTTGAACAAGATGTTATTGAAGCCGAATTGAGATGGGAGGGTCAAACATGGAGTCTTCGTCAAGCCGAAACTTTTGTTTATCAGCATTTTGAGACCGAGTTCCAAAAGGCTGCTCTCTACCCGCCAGCATCTCAGAGCACTGATTTTAGCGAAGAGAGCTCGCACTCGGAGTTCCCAAACGGAGATATGGAGTATCAGGAGAGTAAACACGCTTCTCTATTATCAAAATCCAATGAGAGTGGTGCCATACCAGACCATACGAAAGCGTGGTCTGATGGAAGTGGGGATTTTCCAAATTCGAATTCGATCAACCAAAAGTCTTCATCCCGGAACCGGGTTGCAGGCTATGAGTGTTACACCCATTTTCCTGGAGAAGACGGCGCTCAAGGTCCACTTGAAAGTACCGACTCTCTCAGCTGCGTTCAGGAACAATCTGGAGAAAAGGGTGAGATCGCTGCAGATGCACCATTTTTAGAGCGCTCTCAACACAGGGGCGACCTCTATCATAGTTTGCTGACAGATTTCGCCTCAAAAAGAGACAGAATAAACAAATGGATTCAAAATAATGTTCTAGAATCTCGGCTTGAGGCTACCTCAGTTTTCACAACCTTGAAGGACAAGCTAGCCATGGAAAAGTTAGACATCCCATCTAATTGGGCACAATTAGGTGAGGCATTCTTCTCTGATTCTTCAATTCCAGAGACTTCTCCATGGAGCGACCTTGGTACCAAAGCTCTACTTTATTCAAGATCACTTGGCAATGAAGTGATCCAAGTCAGATCGTGGGTTACCAGAGAAATTTTGCTAATCCGGCAGAGTAACTTTTAGTCGTTGCGTTTTGGGACAGTGACATAGCGGCGTTGCCCCACGAATTTTATCGCCATTCAGCAGAAACAAGCACACTTTCTTCTTAATCGGCGAAGGACAAGAGTCCGAGCCGATCTTATGCTGGAGTGTATCGAGCTGAAGGTGTTCGTCGGACCATCTAATCCTTCCGATGTGACGATGGGTAAAACGTACGACATGTTTTTGGGTCCAGATTTCCATTGCGCATTGGCAATGAGACTTCGCGTCGTGATTTGAAGACAGGTTTTTTGCAGGTTCAGTGGTAAGAACGGGTGGTCCCCAGGAAAGAGACCTCCCAGAGCCTGTCAACGGCACAACCCTCGACCAGTCCAAGGCTGGTGACACGCATAACATGTCGTACCCGATATGTAGTTGATGAATAATTGAAGACAGGTTTAATATGCACTGTGCTTGAATTTATTCCCTACATCTGACGAAGCAGTGTGCATCGGGAAGAATTCCGCAAAGAGCGTCTAGAAGACCACCATAAGACTGCCTGTTATAGCATGATCCCCACAGATCCTTCTCAGGTTGCTGGACAAGCGATTCGCCCAAAAAGAAGATGCCCAGGAGGGCGTGTGCCAATGAAACACATATAGGGTCATGGAGGGACGGAATGTGATATTGATGAGCTGGCGGGAGAACACGATTGTCTTCGAGACATAACGGGTCGGGCCGCCACAATCTGTCCGCAATGATCGACTGAGGTCCAGTCCAGCATTCTATCATGTTCTGTAGGAGGACAAAAGGGGGTAAAGTGCAACTTTGAGCAGCCAGCTGAGTTACCCCCTGAGAAGGGTTGACATGATGCAGAGCTCGATGGAGAAGGAACGAACAATTGTGTTTCCACACAACCGTATAGTCATTAGGCAATGAGCTGACATATGGGCGACGTTAATTGGCGCTGAATATTCGTGGTGGATTGAGGTGTTGTGTCCGGAGCTTGCGCTCAGGCCCAAATTGCTCGCTGCATTAGGGTTGGGAGACTATCAAATCGCCATTTTGGGAATATCTGAAAGCTGTACGGAGTTTTGTTCGTCCTGATGTGACGACAACGAACGCTTTGGGCGAAATGGTCCGTTGCGGAGAATATATTGTTGGTTCGGCTCAATAATGTTTCGATTGACATGCAGCTGCTTCTACATTTCCGACGGTTTCGAGCATGAGTTTTCTCAAGTAGCAACTGCTGAACATGTAATCCATCCTAAGCGTATTGGATAGTGTCTGTCATGTTGAAGTAAAAATGTTCTTTGGCACCGAGATGTTTTACCAGGTTTGTTCTAGTCCATCGTGAAATGACGGTTGGGATTAATAAGAATCGTTTTTCCTGCTCTTGAGTTCAACGACCTTTTCGCGTGACAACTTCTTCATGTTCTATTCGCATCCAGTGAACACAATGGATACGATTGATACCAAACTTTGCAGAAAAATCGGGCGGGTGTAGTTGAATGGAGATAAATCATGTAGGTGAGGCCAAGATTAAGTCGTGACACACTGACAATGTTTGGATATTTTTGCTTTTGGACATGGAACAACCTTTCGCCGAAGAAGCAAGCAACCTCCAACCACAACTTATGACCTTGAAATGTGGTGCGATTGTCACCGGTAGACCATGCATTTCTGGAACTAACCAATCTGGACTATGGATTGCTTCTACGACTTGTGCACTTTGTTCTAGGTCTATATTCGATCGAGATGAAGAGTCCAGCAAAGGCATTATTGCTTAGAAGATTTACATACTATTAAAATCGCCATGTGTATCGGCGTTATAGCTTACATTTAAGCTTAATTCATTGGTGGCATTGATTACATTGTTGGCCTACAAGCATGTATGTGATTGATGGGTAGATCAATACTTTACCTACCTAGGTCATTTTCACCAGTCACAGAACCACAGTGCCACACAACGAATGTAAATCGTGAATTGAAAAACAATGAAGAATAATAATTAAATAGTTCTTCGTCTTCCAAGAGGGAAAGAAGAATGTTGTCGTGCTTACACGTACTCTCACTTGACTTAGTGGTATTTGTTGTTGATACAGTCTGAAAAGAGATACTTGGACCACCTGAGAAAGTTCGCTTGCTCCCAATTTACCTAAATGAACCCCTAATTTTTCGCTTCATATCAAGCCGACGAATTCCATATTCCATTTGTATTACTCGGTACTGCCTACAGTATATCCTTTACATGTGAACTTTAGTAGTCGGAGATAAATATTTAAATCCGAAAACGCCAACTTCAAAGTCTTCATCCATCCAGATAAAGCTTCTTCACGTCAAATCTGAAACTCATTCTTATGCTTAATTCATGGATTGACAACGCCTCAATTTTATTTATAATATGGAGCCAATAAGCATACGGCGTTAAGAGCCGCGCTCGTTTCAGCCACTGAGATTGCGGTCACCGTGCAGCCCTACGGATTACTTCCCCATCTCCAACATCAGGAATGTTGGAAGGCCCAAAATCACGCCTGCAAATCAGATAAAACCAGGAACTTCACGTAAATCCTATGTCGCTGCAAGCCCCCAATCACTCAAAGCAGCCTACTCGTATCATGAAACCTGGGTATGGAGGTAACCACTGCAACCATGGGACTTCGCCTTATGATGGAGATCGTCAAACCGCAGCGCTGTGCCGCACCTCTATCCGCAGTGATGGTCAAATTTAAGGAATCGAAGTCCCGCTTTGGTAACTTCTAAGGTTCTAGAGCTCTGTCTCTTCATTTCATGAAGTTGATTTTTGAGCGACATACATTTCCTTTGTGTTGCCTCCTAATAAAATGACCACTGGTCCCCGGGATGACCAACGAGAAAGCCTACTACGAAATGCAGCTAGTTTAACGACATCAACACCATCGCCTGGGGGGGTTTATGGACATGAGATGGTGGATTTTGGGTCTGGGGATATTGGAATGCGGAGGACATCATACCCGCCAGCCTACGAGCCCTCAGTCCAACGAGATCATGGACGAGATGGGTCTTTTGGGCGATCTTCCATGAATAAGTGAGCCTACTTCCAAAGCTCTAAATATGGGGGATTGAGAGTTGACTGCTACTAGGGATCTTTCAACAAGGCAAATTCAAACAGAATCGATTCGATCCGGGGCGCCTTCAGTAATACACAATGCGTACCATCGTTTCATGCGATTTATCCTTCGATCCGGTACATGGGGCTCACATATAAATTACAAACCAGCCAACTCTGGAAAACAACCCGAAGATAATGAATTCAGTGGCTGGCGTGGAGGAATAGCCGCTGCTTGTGCAATCGCAGGAACAGTTCTGACACTCAATATCGTATTCTGCATCTACGGCGGCGCGGTTTCCAAGTCTGGAATGAAAATTGGGAGTCTCTACGAAGGAGATTGCGATACGGTCACGCGTGCTGATTCGGCTCTGCATATTGCAATCAATATTATGGCAACACTGTTGCTAGGTGCGAGCAATTATACGATGCAGTGTATCAGTTCTCCTACACGTCGTGAGATTGATAGGGCACATGCTCGCGGGAAATATCTTGATATTGGGATACCTAGCATAAGGAATCTTTCCGGAAGGAGGAAGCATATTCTATTCTGGTTGCTAGTGGTGTCTAGTGTGCCTCTTCATTTTTTGTACGTTTTCCTTTCATGCAAACCACAATTGTTGGTGATGCGTGGCGATGCAAATGTCAATCTACTGTCATATTAACAACGAAGTAGGTGGAATTCTGCTGTCTTTACGACAACCCAAGAAATTGATTACAAGGTCGCCGTTGTAACGCCAAGTTTTCTGGAATCCAATAATCCCATCAACTGCTCGCTAGAGGTTAGTCCGGTGTATAGCGCGGCATATAATAAAATTGACCTAGCTTATGATAATGGTCCAATCGACGGGAATAAGACGAAATACTACCAAGAGTACAATAGAACAGTCGCTTATTACCCCTCCAAGGGCAAAATTCCATGGTATCAGCTAGATGCATGTCCGATTTTGACAGAGATGAGAGCCAATGCCACGCAAAATCTCTTGACACGTTTGAGTACTACAGAGTGTATTAACAAATATGGAACAACAAGTACGAGACTCGCTAAAGTGGGTCATGTTCTAGCTGTAACAAAACCAAGACCCGAAAATGACAATTCGACTGTACTGTTCCAATTCAACTTTCAGACATACATCTCCAACATCACAGGAAACAACTGGGTCTGTGGCCCTCGAAATCTAATCGCAAACAACTACAAATGTTCTCCCAAAACCCTCGCTGGGGAAGCATCTTGGACACTTGGGAGACTCAATGCAAGCACCTCGAATCCATATCGATTAGCGGAATTAGACGAGTGGGAGATAGACCATTGTCTAGCGCTCGAAACTGACATTGGAGGAAAATGTATGCTTCAAGTTAGTATGGTTATCATGACTTTTGTCATCATTGCCAACGCCATCAAATTCACATGTATCATCTGGGTCATCAAAACAAGCACCGAACCAGTCCTCGCAACCATCGGCGACGGGATCTCCTCATTTCTCCAGCGTCCCGACCCCATCACAGCTGACCGTCCCTTTCTTACCAGACCCAAAGCCAGAAAATTCAGGCCCTTATCAGCCAAATATCCCGAAATGTGGACATCCAATTACACCAATCTACGCTGGTGGAAAGGACCCAGCAAAGCCCGCTGGTTCATCACGCTCACCCTGTGCATAATCGCCATCATATCAACCTGTATCTTACTTGGCACTGGAAACGAGAACTTCAAATCCAACGTCGACATCGCAGTATCAAACCCCTATTCCATAGGCTTCGGCGTCTACAACAAAGCCGCCACCGTAACCATCTTCGCCTTCAGCGACAGCGACGTCGTCTCACTCACAAAGTCCTCTTTCGACTCCAGCAAGAACCTCCTTCAAATGGTCGGCAAGTCCCTCTCTCCCCAATGTTGCTCAACCAATACTAACACCCATCCCAGCCGTAGCCAACATCCCGCAATTCATAGTCTCCTCCCTCTACTTCGCCTACAACACCATCTACACCTCGATGCACTCGGCCGCCGAATTCTCGCATTTCACACTAACCCGCAAAGCCCTGCGCACCACCCGTCCCCTCGGCGCCCAACGCTCTACATACTGGCTCTCCCTCCCCTGGACCTACTCCCTCCCTCTCGCCATCGCAAGCATGACACTCCATTTCCTCATCAGCGCCTCCCTCTTCATCGCGCGCACCGAGATCCTCGACCCGTCTAACGCCATCGAACCGATTTCGTACATGCAAGTCGGGTATTCGCCCTTGGCCATCCTGCTCGCGGTCATTTTCGGGAGTCTGATGGTCCTCGCTATGATCTTGAATGGGTTCAGGAAACTTGATCCGGGGTTGTTGGTCGGGAATAACAGTCTAGCGATCGCGGCGGCGTGTCAGCGGCCTGAGTGGGATTCGGATGCGCATTTGAGGGCGGTGAGGTGGGGGGTTGTGAGGGCGGCTACGGATGGGAGACCGGGCCATTGTGCTCTTTGTAGTGGGGAGGTTGAGGTGCCGAAGTTGGCGAAGAAGTATATTTGATACCCATTTGATTTTAAGAGTTGGAATTAGACTTTTGGTTCATTGTTGCGTGACGTGTTTTGTGTTATTGTGTAATTGTGATTATGGGTTCTCGCTTATCCTCGAGTTGCCCCTTTTCCAATGTCTTCTAAGGTTTACCTACTTCTTTCCTACCGCAACATTTGTGGAGAATGTGAAATTCGATGTGTATCTCCTGCCATATTAATATCGTAGCAGCCTGTATTGCCAGTCTCTGATTTAAGTTACTCCAAGTAGGAAAAAGTTGACTTTCTGTATGTTGTGTAAACATGAGCACAATGACTAACATGATATACAAATGCCAACAAGATTAACGAGTAGAGCAGGAGAGCCGGAAGATCTATATTTCACAAATCGAGAGACATACACACCTCGGTGTCTATATGTTACAAATCTACAACATGCAGGGTATCTTCCTGACAGATGCTCGCAATGAGTTTACCAAATTACAAGACCTGAAGAAGTGCGCACCGCGTTCCCGATTGGGGTGGGCCAATGAACATCTGATCAGATATGACAACAGCTTCCAAATACGATCTTCCTTTTGAGATCCAAAAGACTTCCTGGGCTTAGTAGCATAGATCTTCTGGATCTCAGTGTCGAATTGGCATCAAGTATTTTCGACGTGCTACCAAACAGAAGGCGTAGAGAGTCGTAGTTTCCTCCCCGACTGTATCGCGGGCAAAGAAGACCGTGTCACTTCTTTAGGCCCAACTCCACCATGAGCACGCGTCCCTTCCATCTTTTGATATACAATCTCTCCCGTAGAGTTCTGGGTGGCAACCAATCCCATCTTCGGCTCAACCCCATCAGATCCATCTGTAAGCTCTTTCCAATCTATCACAGGTCTCCCTCCTACTGATACCCCGAAATCAACAGCAAGTACATCTTCCACCTCCCCAAGCGCTTCGGCTGGGTTGCTGCGAAGTTTGTATCCTAATCGATTAACCGCTTTCTCAACTTTCTTCATGAGAGCATCGGTAGGCAACAGGTTGTGGAATTTGTATTGCTCCAAGATGACATCTCGAATACGGGTTTCTAGATCTGTTTCCCAAGTCTCTCGTTGAATGGAGATGTCGCGTTTTGATATTTTCGGTGGCACCCGTATCGCGAGATCGGGTCGCTTGGCAAGAAGTAATGCCATCGCAAAGACTTGTTCATCGAAAGATACGCTCTCAGTTTTTCTCGCTTTGTTAACACTCTGCCACTCCAGCCAGATGGCGTCGGCGAGTCCCATCTCTCCCAACCCCATGATATAGTGAGTGTAGTTTTGCGCTCCTGGTTGAATCACCAGAGCAAACGACATGCCTCGAGGAGTGCCGGGCTGCGGTCTATCACCTAAGGACCACCCAGTTATCAACTTCAACAGCTCTTTTTGATGCCATGATTGGTCTTTCCACGGCATGATGTTGAGTTCCTCGTTGTTTATATATGCTCTTTGCAAGGATTGCAGCGCATCAAGGAAAGGGTAATTCGGCCCCTGGTATTCTCTTACTCTATAATAGCCCAGGTATCTCTTTACTGCAGGCAAGATACGTAGTTGTGCCGCGCAGCGGAGTGCTAGACTCGGTAATCTAAACCCAGATGGTAGTTTTCTTGACTGTATATTCCTGAGCAGATTGTTCAGAAGCTGAAGAGCCGCGTGCAATTGCATCGTATAACTTGGAGTACCACGGGAGTGTTTGAGGGCCATCTTTATTCCACGAAACAATCCACTATCGTGCCGAAGAAGAAATCGACAACCCTCCTTAGTACTCGATAGCATGATTGCCATACTGGTCAACCTAGGAAGGTTTTCGCACGAATATAACTCATTCGTGATCTTCTCCTTGTTCTCCTCTGTATATCCCACCTTCGCGAGACTCTGCACTGGATCCGTGGACAGTTTGTAGATCAATTGCTTCATCTTCTCTTGCGGAGTGTCTTTTAGACTTCGAGTATTTGCGTTCAGAAACTCTCGATAGTAACCGGCATTGGTTGAAGGAGGTGGATCGCCTAGTAAAGCATAATGAAGGACGCGGAGAGTGGTGACATCGGAATCCATGAGAAACCTCTGGCGAAGAGCTTGCCTAGACTGAGTCAAAGGACCCTTTTTCCTCCTCACAACACCCAAGCGGTCTCTCTTTGGCCTCTCTTGGTATGGCCGAACATGCGGACTCTCGAAGGCATCGAGATCAACAACTACTCGAGGTAGGTCAAAAGGTTCCGATTTAGGTAAGAATGAAATCCATCGGCGAGCGTTTTCGTTTGTTCTGAATTGGATTCCTCGAGAGGAACGCCGCGCTATGTTTCCACATAGCAAACAGGCACTTGTCGACATGTGCATACTGGCATACTGGCAATGGGAGACACAAATCCGGGGAAAGGCTAGGATGTGGAGGCGGCGGATGTGGAACACCAGGGGAGATGGAAAAATTACGGGCATATTGCGCGAGAAGTAGAACAAGCGCCAAATTTAAGCGCGCCTGGCATGACGGTGGACTTCTCAAACCGTGAGTGAACCAATATTAATATTCGACAATCTGCTCACACCAACTACGCAATTTCACTACATTTCGACTTCTTTCCGACTGGATACAACACGTTCTATGATTTGACTTACACGAAAAATGCCACCAGCTAAGAAACGCAAGACTCGGGCTACTGCTGAGCCAGCAGAGGAAATACCTGCCCTTAACGCGACGGCAAACGAGACTGCAGCACCCAAAGACAACAATTCGAATGAGGAACCACCACTCGCTGAAGCATCATCTTCATCGGCGTCAGATGCGGCCACAAAAGCAAAGGAGCGCGCAGAGAGATTCAAGGCTCTCCAAGCAAGAGCAAAGACCGGGGCGCAAAAGAATCTGAAGGAAGCAACGCTCGAATCACAACGTCTAGCCACAGATCCAAATCTCCTCACATCCCTGAACCGCAAGTCCGCGATCGCGTCGCACAATCTGATGAAAGCAGATGCCGAGGTAGCAGGAGAGGACTTTGAGCGAAAACGAGCCTGGGACTGGACCATCGACGAGAGCGAACGTTGGGACAAGCGGATGAAGAAGAAGGATAATCATCGCGATGACCAGGCTTTCCAGGACTATCGACAAGACAGCAGAAAAGTGTATAAGCGCCAGATACGAGACTTGAAGGTCGATATGGATGGCTATGAGAAGGAGAAGATGAAAGCGGTGGAGAAGGCAGCTGCGTCGGGGGGTTTGGAGATTGTGGAAACGGATGATGGAGAGCTGGTCGCGGTGGATAAACATGGCACGTTCTATTCGACGGCGGATTCGACGGGGTTCGTGGAGCATAAACCGCCGAAGGATGCGGTGGATAGGTTGGTTAAGGACTTGCAGCAGGCAGAGGAGGCCAGGTTGAAGAAGAGGAGGGAGAGGATGGGTGGGAATGGTGATGATGGGGACGTTACGTATATCAACGAGAAGAACAAGAACTTCAACCAGAAGTTGAACAGGTTCTACAACAAGGTAACGATACGTACCCTATGTGTTGGGAATCAAGCTAACATTTCACAGTACACGGCAGAGATTCGCGACAGTTTCGAGCGTGGTACGATGATATAATTTGGTTTTAATTCGTTGAGCGGTGTTGTACATAATAGTACATACAGTTCTGAGTCGAGATTACCAGTCCGACTCTTTTAGCGCGAGGATCTCCTCAATATACCTCAATTACACCATTCCTTTTCTCCACGCTTTTTGAGCAAGTGCCTCTATCTCCTTGACTTCAACTGGACCCTTAACGCTCTCATCAGCCAATGCCTCGACTAAAGCCTCCGCTACAAGATCCGCCTTTAGTGGTTTTACTCCAGCAGCTCCCATGATTCCTCCAAATATTCCACCAGTGACGGTATTGAATACTGCTCCTAAGCCCGTCGCCGCGGCAAGTGGTATTGTGATCGTCCTCGAGCTATCCCAAAGCATCGGTGGTCTAATGAAAACGGGCCTCATATTTGGGAACTCCGAAGCAATTGTACTCTCAGCCTCCCGCTTCGTCTGAATATACCTCCCGGGCAATACCGGTGCACCGCCAGCCGCACTCACATACGCAAAACTCTTCACGCCCACACTATTCGCCTCCTTCGCCAAAGTAATCGCGGAATCCCGATTCATAAGCTCATATGTGATCTGACCGTCTTTCTCTTGCGATTTCAAATCCTCGTCACTCTTTCGTGTCAGTGGGTTCTGACTCCCGGCTTTGTTGGACGAGAATGCTCGCTGTAGACCTTTGATCGGTGACTCCCGCCCGGATATGACGCCTTTGTAGTCGGCTTCGAGGAGGATACCCATGCTGTGGACTACATAGTCGCTGTTTTTGAGGAGGGGAGCGTAGGTCGAGGGTTTGAGGATGTCGGCGCGTTCCCAGGTTACTTTGTGCGCCCAGGGTGGTGGCGATGGTGAGGAGGTTACTGAGGACCATTGAGGTTCGCCAGATCGGCTGTAAGAAATTCACATTAGCATATTTGACCATTGAATCCCAGATATTTAAAAATTATTTCCTTCAAACGCAATGGTATGATCACACCAAATATCATGCCACAAGGCTGAAAAGGAGCTCCGACTCACCTTATGCTTGTAACGTCCCAACCCCGAGCAACAGCGCTCTTGCAAATCCTGCTGCCCAGAAACCCATTCCCGCCGCATACCACTATCTTTTTAACGCTGGACATTTTGTCTCTTGATTGAATGTGTTCTGGGTAGAACGTTTAATGTCGTCAGAGTCGAGCTTCAACAAAATACAGAAGCACTGACCACTGTGCTGTGCATGAGCGGGGCACAACTTGACCCCTGCCGATTCAGCCTGGTTAACAATTTCGCGCCTCGGAATCATCCGTTCAGGAACAACACTCCAAACTATGGCACCTCCAAACACTAATAAGCGATGCAAAGGCGTCCAGATATTTCGACCATTTGTATTTGGGTCTACGGCTAGACTATTCGATCCTGTTACCAATCCCAAACCAGCAGGAACGCCGGATGATCATACACATTCGTGGACTGTGTTTGTTAAGGGTGTAGATGATGTTGATATCACCTATTGGTGTAAGAAAGTCACCTTCAAACTCCACGACTCGATTCCAAATCCAACTAGAAGTAAGCCGTCACATGTCCACTGTTAGAAAGTAACAAGCTAACACCTCAATAGTAATCGAAAATGTCCAACCAGGCACCCCCTTCCAAGTCTCGGAAACAGGCTGGGGAGAATTCGAAATCGTAATCAAAATCTACTACGTCCCAGAAGCCTCCGAAAAACCACAAACCCTCTACCACCACCTGCGTCTTCATCCCTATGGCACGGACGCCGAAAAAGAAGAAATGCGCACGAAAGGTGAAGTTATAAGTTGGTCCTACGAAGAACAGCTCTTCAACGAGCCGAACGAGCAGTTCTTTGATCTGCTTACGAGCCCGGTGGATCGGAAGGCTGCGGGTGGCAAGGGTGGGAAGGGGAAGGGCACGAAGTTGATGAGGGGCGGGATGGTGGGGAGTACGGGGGAGAGAACGGCGTTGATTCCGGTTGGGAGTCGCCCGGGCCAGCCGTACAGTAGGGAGACGGAGAAGAAGGAGATGAGGCGGATGGGGGAGGCGAAGGCGAAAGTTGATGAGATGGTTAAGGAGGCGCAGAGGCAGTATATGGATGCGGAGAGGGAGTTGGCGGCTTTGAGGCAGGGTTGAGTGTTGGACGAGTGAGATAAAGATGGACTCTCCATGATGGCACAGGGCGCAGGAGCTGGGTGACTACAGATCTTCCCGCCGCCTCGATGGAGTCAGAGATGATAGAGTACGGCTCGATTTGATATGTTCGATGGTTCTGAGAAGCACAATGGTCTTTTAGAACCTCGCACTGAGATGGATTCTCGACGGGCTGACCCATGAGCAAACTTATGGGAAAACGAACTGCAAACAAGCTAGCGTATACAGGGCGGCCACCATATTACCTAGCACGATACATTCCCTGGATCATCGCTCATCAATGAAAGTCGAGCGAAGCCGAGAAACACCCACCCTGCAAGATTTTTATCTGATGCACGCAGTCCACTCCACGGTCAGAATGGCAGTTGAGACATCTAGGCCGCGGGTGAAGAGATATAGGCTTTACGGTGCAGGCAGTCGGAAATAGTAGCAGCTGTCTTGGTAGTTATATTTAGATGCTAGTGAAGCGTTTAACCACATGAGTGAACATAACTTATTCAACGCAACCACCTAACATTTCCATAATTGTGAAACCATCTGTCTCCATATCTGCTTACCCCACAGGTCTGGCCCACTGTGAAGATCTGTCTAAACACGATATGGATATCTCTAGTGAGTGTGCATATAAGTACATGGTTTGATTGCCTTTTGGGTGTGGGGGTATGCTCTGATCGATCACTAGTGGCTGGTAAAAGGTTGACATGTACCTAGGTAGTTAGATAAATACTTAGGTACTTAGTCATGCAAATTAATCCTGCTCCTTCGTGTATATATTCTCCCCCTTTTTCTGACATTGAAGTCGTCCGTCTCTAGGACCCCCAGATGTGGGTTATTATAATATACGCTAAAACGCAGTAATACAGTACTTTTACAACTCTTCTACACTCATCTTTTTCTCCCTCTCTTACCTCCTTTCCATACTCACGCCACCTAAGTAACCCCCCATTCTATTCTCTCTCTCTTTTCTACACTCACGTCTATCACTTTCACTCCTTCTCCTTCTCTAGCTCTCTACACCTAGACCATTCGCTCATCCTCTATTTTATTCCCCTCCCAACAGCACACAAAACGTCCCCCTTCCTCCCCGCCTTCTCAGTCCCCTCATACCATCCGCCATCCACCAAGCCCCTTTCTACCTCCCTCCAATACCCAACTTTCTCGGCACTCTTCAGATCTAGATCGCCTAATCTGGCTTCTACTTCTCCTTCCCCTCCTTTCAGTCGCAAAAATACAGTACAGTCCCTTAACGTCATTGCTAGACAGAACTTCTCCCCCGTCGCCTCATCCCCAAGAGCCCCGAAGGGATCCATTGCTTTCTGCGCGTCGCGGAGTTGGGTGAGCAGCGGCGAGGGTTGCAGCCATTTTGTCAGATGAGCTGCTAGCACCGGGTCGGATGTGATGAATGGGACAGCGCGGGAAGGAGAGTGTATGAGGTCTAACGGGCAGAATGTAGGTGGAGGAGGGTTGGACGGGGAGAGCGAGGTTAGTTGAGCGTGTCGCGCACACTGTCTGCATCGGATGGATTTTGGCGGGGCAGAAGGCGACTGCAGGAGCCATTTTGGTTTGAACTCTAGGAGCTGGGTCGTTGGTGAGGGTGTCATGTCGACGACGAGGAGGCCGTAGGGGTCGGGTGCTAGGTAGGTTCCATGACGTTTGGAGGGACGGTTTGGATGGGGTTGTTGTTCCCAGGTGCGGAGTTCTGAGTTTAGTCGTGAGATTATGTTGCTGGGTCTGAGGTCGACGAGGGTTTGCTTGACGAGGTTGTCGGCGTGGAATAGAGGAACCAGAAGGCGTTCCCAGTTTTGTTGGGAGAGGGAGCAGGGGAGGGTTGTTGGTAGGTTTTTGCGGAGACGGAGGAGTTTTTCTGGGGGTTTTGTTAGCTTGATTGCGTTTAAGACTCATGTATAAATATTGAGATGATACAAAATTCCTGCTTATACATAATCTTGAAACAGAAATAAAGCAATGAGATGTTGGGGACTGACATGCAACATTATGAGTTATACTTCAGCAAAATCATCGCTAATTCTCACCAACTTACTATCAAAGATCCTTAAATCACCACCATTCTCAAACACCTCGATCTCAGACGGCGGAGGTGTACCGTCTCTAAACTCCTCAATCTCACTCGGTGGTGGCGTTGACAACGGTACCGAAATTCTGTACACGATATTCGCCGCGCCCTCACTAAGATACGAGATCTCAGTGCTCACTGGGAGCACAGGAATATCCGATTCCTCTGTCGTTGGTGGGGCCATCGTGATGTATGCATGCTGTAGGACAAGCTGATGGCTTTTATATGCACGATGTAATGATCGAGCTGAAAATGCTTACTGCCCGAGTCATTGTTGCTGGGATCAGCTGGGGAGACGTGAATCAAGTTTTAGGTGGTGATGGGATGGGCTGCTTGTTGTTGTTGACCACCGTAGCGGGAGGTAAACAAAACGTGGGGAAGCGAGTGCGAGCTTGTCGGTCATGCTTCTCGGCACGCGAGGGAAACAGGAATTTGAGGGTGGTGGAAACAGCATCTAAGTCGCGTTAGCCTTTAAAAAGATCTGGAAAAATATGTAAAAACTCATAGAGACTCTGACGCTGATATGAATGACTTTATGAATATTGAAAAATGTATTTGTTGTGTAAATTCATCTATTAAATATACCTAGGTACTCATCCGGTGTTCCTCGGGTTATGACGCCTGCTGCATCGGTCGGTGCACGAGCGTGCGTGAAAAGTTCCACTTTGCTTGCGCTTCTTTGGTCATCACAAGGGTCGAACATTCAGATCCGAATTCTCCTCTTCTCCTTTCGATCCTACCCCTTTCATCTTTCACCACCACCACACCGAATTAATTACCGTCCTACAATAATACTCGAATCGCGACGATACGCTCGAACACTTGACTCTTAATTGATTCAGGCCCCCTGCGCAACCGCCCGATAGCTGCACAGCCGCTGATCACTCGCAACATCCTTATCACCGGATCATATCAAAGGAAACTCACGCGACAAGGGAAAAATCAAAAGGGGACGACTTCAACATCACCACAACATCGAAGACACTTCAAGGAATAATCTGGAGCTCAGCATACATCTAATGCTGCTCCAGGATGGCGTTCAACTTCAACTGGTCGCCGTTAACGGCAGATGCGGAATTCTACAAGCGGGCTCAGGAGATGCTCACAACAGCTCTCAATAAATCGCCCAAACCTCCGATTATTGTCGATGATATCCTGGTCAACGAGTTGAATCTGGGTACTACCCCACCAGAGTTGGAGATATTGGAGATTGGAGATTTGGCAGAGGATCGATTTCGGGGGATTTTCAAGATGTGCTACTCTGGGGACGCTTTTCTGACTCTAAAGACGAGGGTACAGGTACGCCAACACAACCTCCTTTTCTCACATTCCCCTCTTTGATAGCGGAGAATTTTGGGAATATTTGTTTGTGCTTCTCCGAGCATTGAAAACAAATTTCCTTTGCGAGGACGCTCTCCGCCTCATCCCTGCTGGGTGAGAATATCACAATGCTAATATATCAACAACAGGCAAACCCCTTGAATACGTATCTTTTCTCGAAGCCCTCGTTTACATCGCCAATGCCGCTAGCTGCGTCCTCCGGTCTTACGATACCCCTCCAAATCACCTTATCAGAAATCAAGCTATCAGCTTTCATAATATTGGTCTTTTCGAGACAGAAGGGACTCACTTTAGTCTTTCGAAATGACCCGCTTGAATCGCTCAAAGTTTCGTCGACCTTCGACTCGATTCCCTTCGTTCGGGATTACCTGCAGAAGGAAATCGAAATGCAACTTCGGACGTTGATGATGGATGAACTACCGGCCATTATACACAGGCTATCATTACGACTTTGGTGTCCGGAGTATGGACCAAAGGAAGAAGAGGAAGCTGTAAACATTGAGAACAAGGAAAAGGAAGAGGTTGCTGTAGATCCATTTTCAAGCCCACCTCAAGATGCTGTGGATGCGCGAGGAAATGTTCTAGATGCGAACGAGATAACATCATTATCGCTGGATGGAGGCTCTGAGATTCATTCTCTTTTCTCACAAAAGAATCTGTTGCGCCTCGGAGCTCTGAACGACTCTCACAGAACCCTATCGCTCTTCACACCTTCAATTCGGGATGCAGTTTTCCGTGCATGGGCTGGACCAACAGAACGAGGAGATTCGGTAGGCACTTCAACGCCAGTAACTCCATCTCTGCTCCGATCTCATTCATACACACCAAGCTCTAGCACTACATATACTTTCAGCCGAAATTCTGACGATGGACACGGACACATGCCATCAAGACCTTCCCTTGTAAGCATGCATTCAGCGACCACGGGACTTAGTCTGGGATCTGGTCGACACTCGAGATCTCACTTGCGAAAGAAGAAGAACCGCGTTGTCAATTTACGAAAGTCAACTACAACAGATGATTCAGCCAGTGAGTCCGGGCAAAGCGAAGCCTCCGCGGCAGTTGTCTCCGAGCCAGCTTTCCCAACCCAAGTTGAAGAGGAGCCGGAGGACAATATCATTACACCTCCAAGATCACCATCTGGTAAAGTGCGATTCAGGACCAGCAGTATTGATCTTGGTGACTCTCCCCGAAAGTCACGTATTTCTACACCTATTCGATCAGCATTGAGCTCTAAACCTATGCCAGAAGAAGCCGTTCTTGAGCCTGCTCCAGTCATTGGTAACATGGAACCAACCGCTCCAATCTTCTCCCGAGAGCACCGCCCATCAATGGTGTCGGCCAACCCAGTCTCAGAGAAGAAGCCAGCCTCAGCTTCAGTCTCTCAGCCAGCCAAACACAATCCTTTCCTTGCGCCTGCGCCCGTCCTCACCGAACCATCACCCGGCGGAATCATCGAACAAGCCTGGGTCATGAAAATGGCAGGCGAAATCGCTCGTCGCAACCACGACGAAAAAGCTGCACGTGGCGGCTTCTGGGCATCGCAAGATACCAGAGAAGACTCTCCACCACCTGCGTATGAGCCGAAGGCTTTGTAAAAATAATTACTCCTATGACAGGAACTCGAATCTTTTCTTTTGTCTGTACGTTGGTGGGATTGTGGCGTTTGGGATGTACCAAGAGACACCTCACTCCTTTTGTTGATTTGGTTTGCTGCGTTTTAGCGTTTGGTATTTGGTTCGCTTGGAGACTAATGGCTCTGGGATGCTTTTGTGTCTAATTCTGGAATGGGTTAGAATGGATGGGTCCGTGGACTTGACGGGACTTGACTAGTCTGGCCTGGAATTGGGAATAAGGCAGGCGGATCGGTTTGGTTGGAACGTCTTAATCACCTCGGCCTCGTCGAAGGCTGTGATTGAAGGGCAGACTACATTTGACATGATAGGGTAGATCAAAGAATCCGTTGATTCTCATTTTCATTTGTCCAAAATTGGTGCAAGAGGGTGTAAAGATGGGTTAAGAGGAGGAAATACCTAAGATCGGTTAGAGGATAGAGGTGTACTATTGACAGATGTGTGGGAGATTGTATTTAGATTTTGGAATCGAGAGATCTATTCTACACATATCACAATGATGTTCACGTCTCACCATGTGTTGTCTTTCATGGTGCTTAGGGTGGGATCCGAGGGCATATGTGGCATTATTGTACGATACTACCTATCCAATTAGATCACTATTCAATATCATGAAAACAAAAGTGTGCCTTGGATTTTCCAGCAGAGAAATTATCCCCTCCTCTCATCGAGGGCTGTTGAAAATACTTACTTGTTAGCAAGCTAAGATTTGCATTTAAAAGTGACATTCTGCAATTGAGAAAGATCGTGGCGAGAGATCATTTATATGACCAGCATACGAGCTCTGGATTCTGAAAAGTAGTCTGGAATTTTGGAAGGATACGGGTGAGGTTTGCGGGAGGTTGGGGGGTTTTCGAGGGTTGGTTGGAGCTGGCTGGTGGTGTTTGATTGATGGAGATGGAAGAGGGGATGTTTGTCACCGAAACTCAACTCATCACCGATTTCCATCCCTCCATTTATTCTTTCTTGGTTAGACAAATTCACCAGAAGTACGGTTGTGTACAAGGTAATTATGATCAAGAGTAATAGAGAGAGATAGATCTAAGTTTCATTGTAGAGAGAAGTCTGGAGGCATACTTGCTTGTGGACTGCAAATCTCCCTTTCTCGACATTATCACAATTAGTTGAACTCCCATTAATACTTTGGTTTCCCAGGTTCATATTTAGGAGATGTTGTGTATGACTGATACCTGGGGATGGATAGATGTATAAGCTTCGGCGTACTCGATTGGTGGGTTTTTTTAAGTAGTGTAGGTAGCGAAGCGGTATCTGTAAGATGGTGGAAGAAGAACGCTTGTTCTTGATATGGGGTTTGGGGTTAGGAGATGGGGAGCTGGGTATTGTGTGTCACAGTTTGTTGGATAGGTTTGAAGGTTATAGTTTCAAGATCTTTTGTCCATGGAGTAAACCGCAGATAGTAGTTACTTAGATTATTACAACGAACAACCTACATAATCTAAACTCATGTAAAGTATAACGTCCATAGATGTATTGGATATATCACTAGCTTATCCCTAACTACTTCTTAACTACGCTACCCACAACATCCTTCCCCCTCGCTAAACAAAAACTTTTGACGCAAAATATTTGCTCATTCGGTAAACTATCTTACTTTAACCCAACTCCTGACATTTTGAAAAAAGCCAAGCGCCGCAGAAACCAGTGCTGGATGAAATTTTCTGGAGGAGAGTTTGTAAGATTATTTCTTAGACTGGGTTTTGTGGGCAGTGAGTGGGTATCGCGGTCTGGGTTTATCTATCTTGATTCGGTGATGTTTTGGGGAGTTTGGGGTTACGTGTAAGGGAAAGAGAGGGAGAAGGGGATGTTGCCACCGAAAGTTGAACTGTCACCGAATCTGATGAGTTATTTTTTTCCGCAGAGAAAAGGCGATAGGAGGGCGAAGGTTGTACGCAGGGATGATAATGTACCAACTTGCGTGAGAGATCATATTTAGATTTTTAAATTGAGGGATCTGTTCGGTACAAATGATGTAAATGAAACAATCTCCTGTATTTTGTGCTTATCTTTAGTACGGTAGCTCGGATATTAAATACGAGATTATTCTGGGACCAAACTACGTATGCAAAAGCAGATATCCAAGATCCTCGTCATATTCTGCGAATGTTATTTAATTAAAAATTGCGCAAAACAGGTCCATTTTCGTTTTCCAGAAGAGAATTAACTTCTCTCTTTAATACGGGGAGGAAAATAATCTTTTGGTTATTTGGGAAGGATGTGTATTGAAACAGTTGTATTTTGAGGACGATTAAATTGGAATGTAAACCGCATACGAGATGTCTTTCACTGTCCTGGAAAGTGATTTCGGAGGTGGGATGAGATGTGTATAGGGCATGGGAGTTATGATTTGTGGTTTGTGGTCGTTGTATACGTCAGTGGGATCAATGTGCGTATCCAGTGTTCATTTGGGGAAGGGGGATGGATGTTGTCACCGAATCTTCATTCATCACCGATTTCCACAGTCCACCTCTCCCTTTATATTTTCCGAATTTTCAAGAAATGTTAGAACTTCAACTGTATAAAGAGGTCATAGCTTGTGGGAGAGATTTTGGAATCGAGAAATCTAAGTGATGTACACGGCATGGACACTGAGACCTTGTTTTGGCGCTTCCTGGTATTGAGGAAACATGTGATTTTTTTATTTGCTATATGATGTGTTGTTATGAGATACGTGGTTTTATTTGAAGGGTAAGGAGGAAGGAGCGGAATATCTGTTAGAGATTTGTGTTTTGATGAATGTAAATAGAGATGTGAACTGCTTTCCAGGCTGGTAGGAGGTTTGATAGAAGTCAAAATAACCTTTCTTGAAAACCTCGGGAAAGACGTCTTTACAAGTGAACGATTCCGTCTTTGTATATAGAATGTAAACGGGGACTTCATACAAGAAACGTGGCTGCGGAGTGCGTAAGTGGAATATCGCTTAGTAGTTATTAATTCCGAATATATATAAGGTCTATAGAGTGTAGATTATCTAACTTACGTCAAAGGTTAATTGGGAAAGCATTTTGTAGTACTCTTTCAAGCAGTAGGAAGATTTTGATGCTCCATGGAAGTCCTTCTTTTAGATCGGCCTTCTTTAGGAAAGAAACATTTGATAAGACGATTTAGTGCCTCTGTACTTGACCAAGTTAAACGTTATAACCTGCCATCGACACTGCTTGGGTGTCTCCGCCGAGATGTTCTAATTGATAGGTTGAAATTATTGTTAAAGGTTGCCAGTTGTTGTTCCTTTGCAGTTTCTGCAAGCAAACCTTTCGGGTGAATTATATGTTAAATTTCGGCCGTATGAAGGGAGTGTTTGTTGTCGAAATGGGGGTTGTCACCGAATCCAACGAATTTTCCTCTCTCAACAAAAGCTATACTTATAGTAGAGCGAAATAAGCGTCTACGCTTTTCTCAAGAACGCTATCATTTAAATCCCTTGCTTTTTCCCTTTTTGTTTTTTCTTCCATTAACGCTAAAGGCGACGAATTTTGACGTAAGATGTGCGCGTCTGGTTTTGAGAGACGTGACGAGTAGGAAGGATCTTTTAACTTGTCCCGGACATGAATCTTGTAGAGGAGATTTACTGCTCTTTAATAACACGGGTTGAAGATTTAATCTTCTACTCACTTGAAGCTACGGGTTTTGTACTAAGTGAATATTTCTTTCTGCTTAAAAGAGAGGGAATGTAAAAGTAGGGGGGTAGGAGATAAAGGATTTTCAAGAGAAGGAATAAGAGAGGTATATAGATTCAAGAATGTGGAGTTTGTCATTTAACCTTCGAAATGAAGTCTTCGACATACGATGGGGTTGATCGACGTATTCTGCAAGGCAATTATGCTTTTTTGAGATCAGAGGAAGTTGTCAGAAGTTATAGAAAGTTGTGAAGTGCTGTGAATTGTTCCTGATTCTTCCATACAATAATGTCTTTTTTGCTGATCTTATCCAACTTTCTGGGTCGTAGGGAAGGTATGTTTGCCACCGAAACTTAAATTGTCGCCAATACCACGTTCTCAAGAAAGGAAGTTGTTTAAGAAGTTATATAGGTAGAAAAATTGACCCTATCTACAAAAAATCAAATAAGGAGCATGGATTCCAGTTTGTGGAGCAGCTTATGACCTGGAATCTTCTAGAGAACAGAAATTAAATATAGTGAGGAAGTGGGTAGTTATACATGTTGATTATTCGAGCTGAGAACTTAAATGTCTTTCGCATTATGAAGAAATTAGCAAAGAAGCATTTTCACTGAAACCATTCCTATCACCGAATTTTACCGCCGTCTTATATCACTGTCAGATAGGAATCTCAGATTAGAATATTCGTTAGTTAACTAGATGCGCAAATGTTTTGTCGCTCTTAATCTTTTGAGTAGCGCGCTCGAATTGACCTCAAAGGCGTGGGAATAAGACCCGTGTTGAGCGGTGCTGGTTGAAGTATTGGATGTATTGTGATACTCCCTGAGAGATTTTCTTTTTTGAATTAGGCTTTACATGTTGTGTCAGGACGGTAAATTGATTTAGGATTAGTTAAACAGATTCTTAGGCATATCTTATATCGGATTGATCTTCCAGACAGTAATTTTGTATCCCAATTAGTGGCGATGGGCCAGTGGCACAACATTATGTAGTGGAAGAGAAACGAGGGCTTCTGTTACTTGATTTATTTTCGGACTGTTTCTTAGAAAATGATAACAAGGAAGTAGTTTAGACAAAAGACTGAGAATGAAGATTTCAAGCAGGGTTGACTTTTGGATTGAAGTTCGCGATTTTTGGAGGATTCTATGCAGGGTATGCTTTTTATACCGGGAAAGGAAAGAGAAATGCAAAGAGAGAGAATTAGGACGCCATCATGAATGTGTTTGAGTGGGAATGAAGGCAGAAGAGGGGTGGTTTCTGGGGTATCTGGGTAAGAAGATTGGGGAATGATAGGGTACTTGAGGGGATGCTAGCGCGCGAAGTCAAACTTTGGAAGCTGTGTTCTTTAATGTTAGTAATTTACTGAACTAAGGCTACATTAGTTAACATACAATACTCCGATGTTGAGTTGCGTGTCTGTGTCTAAAACGAATCACCTGTCTGCTCCCTTCAAATAAGATATTTGAACTTTATAAGAAGTTACAAAATCTGAAGATCGTTGAAACTACAGAGCAGTGTGACAAGGAGCATGGAAGGTTGTTTTGTAGAGTAGCTTGTAATATTCTATTCGTCCTACGAAATGGATGTATGAAATTAATTGGATGAAGTTCATCAAATGTCTTTATATCTTTTCCTCCTCCATCCCTGACTCTCATGACAAGACCTTCTGTCACCGAAGTCTTACCCACCATCCATTCCCACTCCCCACTCTGGGTTAAATACCTTTCAAACGCACTTTAAACGTAGCCGATGGCAGCAAATTCTTATTCATTTGACTGATGGGTTTTATAGAGTAATGTGTCAAATGTATTAGTTTTTAAAGTAGCGAGGAACTAAACGTAAGGGAATTCGACTGAAATGGTAGTTCTAGAATATTTTTGGTTTTAGGAAGAGTCAGGGCGTTATGTAATGTGCTAGTACTTATTTGAGTTTTGTAGATTGACTTGAATATTGCAATCGATGATATTTTGCGTAATCTAATTTTTTTGACTGCCTGATTATGGGATTTATGGGGAATGGTCGGATGAGTTATCGGTATTATGAGAGAGGAAATAGCACAAAGTTTAGTTCTATGTCTATGTTGATTTATACGTTGAGGTCTATGAATTAACACATGTGACCTCTATCCCGTTTTGGAAAATACAGGCAGGTATTTAAGAGTTTGATGAGTGCCGATGATGATCTTATAACGAGATATACCGTGTGTAGGAACGGTGGTAGTTAGAGGTGCTCCAAGTGTTTGATGTCTTATTGAAACAATTTCGAAAAACGGTGAGAAAAGTCGTTTGTTGTATGCGGGATGAAGAATGGTAGATGAGGGTATAGTTAAGGTAATTGAGCTTTGGGGGAATAGTGAAGTTGTTGTCAAAAGGATCGCTACTGCCGATTCAGTACAGTCATTTAATGTTATTTAGTTGTCGGAATCTGAAGATTTTAAGTTCTGAATTGGGTTTTTGTTTTGTTTTAAGAGTGCGTCGAAGGTAATTCTCGTTACCTGATATTATGCTTTGTAGCCACAATATGTCGAAGGACTATCTGCATAATCTGTGGTACTCCAAGTTAGGGCAATATAACTATTTATGAGTGAAAGCCTTCGAGTAGTAAGACTTTGAAGCATAGAAAAGAAAGTGGAAAATAAATTTGTCAGTTTGAAGTTTGTAGTTCGTCACGGGCGACGAAATTGTGCAAAGGTGTAGAGGATAGTAACCTCAGAAAATCAAACTTCAAGATTATTAATTTGCTATGCATAATTCAATGTATAAAAAGTAACATGGTGTATCGTCGAGGCAATACTCGAGCGAACGTTGATTTGGGTCTGTACTGTCCCCTCGAACTAGAACTAGCGTAGTGCCATATTTTATACGCTTTTGCTGAGGTATTCTTGGTTCCTTAACGACAAATTGTACTTCACTCTTAGACTCGGGTGGGATTTGCTGTGTTGGTTATGAAGTGTGCTTTTTGAGAGTATAAGCGACGTGCTTTAGAGTTGCTGCCGAAAGGTTTGCTGTTACCGACTTTATGAAAGTCGCGTGTGCTCACCCACTTTTAGTTAGACAGCTATCAAGGAACTCATTGAAATTATATAATCATTCTGGAAGGATGTTTAAAGGTTAATTTCAATATTGAATATTTTTAGTTATGCCTACCAACTCAGAAACAGGTTCTGCATCAGTCGGCTGTTCGTGTTAAATTATGTAACCGTATGTACTATACGTAGTAATGTGATCTTACTGGAAATGTAATGTTAATTCGGGACACGTGTTTCGAAAATTGAACAGAATCATGCGAAACGTACACAGTAATTATATTCGTAAAATTGGAATGTGACAATTCTGACAATATAAAGTAAATTATTAGTACAAGGGGGTAAAAAATGTATTTCATATATCAATTCAGTTCCTCAGCTGCCTTACTAATATTTCTGTTGCCATACTTCTAATATCCCAACAAACCTTTGTTGGCCAATTTCGAAGTCAACGACTAAAATGATCATGAAATCACAGACTGAAATTGGGACTAGACTTTCTTTTCAAATTGTGTGCTCAAGTCCTTTTATAGCGTTAATATTATAGAGATCGTCATGGTGCAATTACATTCCACAGTGAAACACTACTCACCTGACGACAGATGATGATAAACGTATTACACGACTTTTTCTCGGTTTTTCTTGCTCCTTTTCGTAACTCTAGAAGAAAACAACACTCCAACACAAGAACTGTGTGGCTCGCGGTGGACAAAATAAGTGGCAGTCGAAACGCGATATTTCTTCGATTAGGTTGACGAAATATTGTAATTTAGTGCATTAATTTGGAACATTATAACATATTCCGTCAATGATTATAAGTAAACAAGGCTTTCTAAACTCTACTGGAAGTCGACTTATTTCGTCTAATATTAGTGGGTTTGTGACTGACATCTATTTTGTCCTCCGCGAGTGTGGGTCTTCGAAAAATTTACAAGTAGATTTGTGAACATCTAATGTTTGCTGTCGAAAACATTGCTGCTGCCGAAAATCCACATAACGCTGAATTTGACAACCACCATAACAGACATTCTAGATTATATAAGCTGGCATGTGTCAAAATTTGAAATTTCGGTCGTTTGTTATAAGACTGTGATCATAAAATAAAGTCACATATCCCAACTTCAGTCTTCGATTGGGTGCTGGGATACACCCGTAACCCGATTACAATAGTACCAAGCAATAATCTGGCTGGTGAGTGCGAAATGTGCTGTTCTTTTATTTTCTATTGTATGTTGTTTCTGAATCGGTTCTAATTAGAATAGCCTTACTTCAACCATCTTCATATATTGCGGAGAATGACGCTTTTCGCCTAAATCTAGCGGCGAGTAAGAGAGTGTTCAACAAATTATTGGCTGGAACAACTAGTTTCGAAATGGCAATCGTTTTCAGTATGTGTTTCCGTTAATTGATTTTTTACCAGTGTAACGAAGTCGCTCCAAATTTGTATATGGAAAGCACAAAATGCATCGTGATAAGGTCTAATGTATTCGAACTTCGAAGTTCAAAATATCACATTATAACACACCAGACTCCAATCTTCTCTCTTCATTACACCCAATCTTCCCATCACTCTACAAAAGCAACACCGCCCCTAACGCAATCACTAAAACCCCACCCAGCCCAACCTTAACCTGCTCACCACTCGACGGTTTCGGCGCCGGCGTAGTGGCAGGCGCATCACTCCCGGAATTATCACTTCCCGAGTTCTCAAAAGTTCCATCCGCATGTTGACACTTCATGATTCCGCTCTCCAACATGCAAGTCCCGCCAGAGAGACAATATTGGCCGTTTGTGCAGCATTGAGCGTCGGCTGGCATGCAGTTGATGTTGCCGCAGCAGATGGAGTTTGTGCAGTGTTGTCCATCTGAAAAATTTGTTAGTAAAAGAACGTACTAAGAACAAGAATGAATACGTACTTCCGCAGTCCTGTATGTTTTGACGAGAGAAGATTTGGGCGGCGACGCGGGCGTGGATGTTTGAGATGGGTGCTGGACCAGTGAAGGCGTCGGTTGTGTATGCTTCGGCAGAGACAAGCGTGAAGACAGCTGCAGCGAGGAGGGAGAAGCAATTTGAGAAACGCATGATTGGTTGGGTATCTGAGAAGATGTGGAAGGCTTTGAGGCGTGCTTGCGAATTCAGAATTGGATGGAGAGTTCAAAATTTCGCGTGAGGTAGACTCGCCTTCCCTTTTATCTTTCCCCAAAGCATTGCATAAAATATCCCATTTGTCTAGACCCTGAGCAGAACTTCATAATCTCACAAAGCGATAAAAATCTGCCTTGGCTCTGCGAATCTAGAGATATTCGAACTTGAGACGGTAGAGCCACCACCGAATGAGAAGAAGAAAATTGATCTCGCAAAACCACATTTCCGTTTCGGGATTTCCGGGTGCGATGATTGGAGAAATCTGGGACACGGCTTGATGTGTGGCCTGTTCTGTATGGGCTGGATATGAGGCTGAGGGTTAAGCGAATCGTGGTTGTGATGAAGATTGGAGCGTTTATGCTTCTCAGCCGCAAAGGGCCGTGGAACTTCTGAGTTTGGGATGGCGGAAAGTTATGCAGAGACGTGAAAGATACTCTGGAAAAAGGCAAATTCGGTGAAGGCACTCGCATTCCGATGTTCTTGGATTATTCACGAACACGACGAAGAACCACAGTTTCCACGTCAAAGCTCAGCGGCAGCATGGGAGATATGCGAGGCTTCGGAGTACACTATTGGATCTCAGCAATTCAAGATAACAGAATGTAGTTTTGCATGATACTACCGTACCTATGCGGCTCAACTAAAATTCGATATTCAATCCCGACGAATCGTCAAAAATAGCTCAAAGGTTCGGGACGAACTTTCTGTGTGACAATGTGACACTTCGCAGTCCCAGCCACGGTCTGAGCCGAAACAATACATGGTCGAGCCACGCTTGGTGGGACAAGGTTTTGCCTGAACTGTAATGTTTGTGATGCCTGCATCTCGGAGGTGGTATTCTCGTATTACGTCCAGTAATCGTGGTTTTGCCGATGGCGATCGAGTTGAAAGCTCGGATACTCGGATTGTCAAGACAATTATGGTGCTCTTCCATCAGATGAAATGTCGATAGCAAACTGCACTTGCAAGAATCGATGACGTTCAAGTGAATATAGCACCAAGTTTGGCTACATATGAATAGTGATGTAGTAATATGTTCTATGCGCAAACTTCTACCAAGGATGCAACTCCCACGCTAACTGCCAGATATGAACTCCTTTTTTTGCCAAATTATTAATCCTGATCAAATACATTGGGAACATCATTATGTGAACATTACTCTCTCATGAAACGTGAGTCTCTAATAAGCTCCGTAGCCCATTGGCTGTCCATAAGGCTGAGGTGTTGGTGGGTAGCTCTGGGGACTGAGCGGATATCCTTCAGGTGCCATTTGTGGAACGCCCGTATATCCCGTTGGAGCCCCAAAAGCTGTGACTGTGACGGACGGTTCCAATTTATAGCTTTGCTGAGGGGTCATTCCCGGACGAGGGCTGACCATACTGTGATCATCACCATGACCGTGTGCTGGATCTGCTGCAGGAATAGCATAGTGCCTTTCGAACTTCCAGACACCTATTACTCTGATCACTCGGTCGAACAAAACCGACGACGCCATTAAAGCACAGATAGCTGTCACAACATAGGGACTAGCAATCATCGTGATGAAAGCATTCTCGTTTAGCACGAGACAGGCAATACCGACAGCAACCACAGCGATCATTGCGCGCCATGCGAGCCGGACAAATTCGAGAACGTCGCGCTTCCTAGTTCGAACGATCCAGAGGAAGATCAAAAGCATGATCATCGAAAGAGCCACCGAGCCCCACAAATAGGTGAAAGTTGTCTTGAAAGTGTGGTAAAAGCCGATCTCGCCAAGTTTGCTTTCTTTCGGGGCATCGATGTTGAACCTCTTGTATATGCCCTTGACCATGGCTTGCTGAATGAGGGACGAATCCGATATGTTGTTGTAGAAATCGCAGAAGAAGGGATCCTGGGCATCACCAGTAGCATTACCGTAAAGGGTGTATAGCAGAACCGTCTGAATAGAGTCGTAAGATCGTGGATCGTAGTATTCGATTTTGAGTTTTTCGACAGTATAATTGATGGAATTTACGAAAGTTTCGGCTGAAGTAACGGTAGTGTTTGTGAAACAAAGACCGTCGATTTGGTCGATGAGTTCAAGTTGCTTCCTGATAGCATTATAAAATATAGCCATCCGATTCGCCCCCTCTACAACTCCTACAAATCCGATGTGGAGAAAGAAGTGGCTAAAAGCCCACCATTGCTGCTTGATAGTTCCGTAGTGGCCGTGAGGGTGATTGTCAAAATAGAGTTGCCACATCAACAGCTAAGAAAAATGTCAACACGACGTAACAGCAATAGCAGAGGTGTGACTTACCAGCATTACAATGATAGAAACCATCGCAATAACTCCTTTGCCGTCAGGACTGGATGTCGTCGGCCAAAGCATGCCAGCGGTCTTTGTAGACCCGATAACACCTTCTCCGATAATTATCATAGTCAGTAAGGATAATCTTTCTGCCATATGTGACTCTTTGAAACTGAGCATTCTCCAAAACGAGGAAACAAGGAGAACAAGTATCGATTCGAGAGGTAATACGATCCACCAGACATAGTGGACTCTTGTTTCTGCAGTTTTGTTGAACCAGCGGTTTGTCTTTGAGAATCAGTAAACAGCATCGTCTCGAGAGGTAGGTAACTTACAACCAAAAGCGCAGTGCCCGAGCTCAGTAATATCATGACGATTAGTATGAAAGGCAATATAAGCTTCTTGTACTTTCGGCACACAAATGCAGCAACGACCGCGTATTGGAGTGCGAGAAAAAATCGAGAAAGCCCCATAACAATCGCCAAAGTCTGATAGATTCGATAAGCTTTGACCGATTCTTTTCCTCCAGGAGCAAATGTAAAGCCCACTACAGCGAGCATGGTGAAGAATGTGAACTGATAGAATTTGCATATTCTTTCGAACACAGAGTCACCCGCGAACCGAACATCGAAGATGGTGATTTGAAACCATGTTGACCATAGGATGACAAAACTGCAGCGCAACCACTTAGCGAGACCCGCATCTACTTCTTATTAACTTACAAGCCAATATAATAATACAAAGTCGCACTATTCGTTATTTCGTGGTAGGTTGTGAATGTTGCAAGATTGGCGACGAAGAAGAGGTCAAAGAACAACTCGATCATGCTAGCTTCATGTCTAACATGAAAAGATTTGAACTCCTTGCCCCTCAAGCCTTCCAAAGGATTAACGACCCATCGAATCGACTCTCCCTTCCTTGCCTTGTAAAGCTTTCTACCACAAGTCAGCGTCGTCTGGACCTACAAATTTCTGGGTAGAGCAAATAGTACTCACTGTGCACTTTCGCTACCTTGTGGCTTCCCATTGTGGAACTGGGACGACATCTCGTTCAAACTTTGAAGCGCTTTGGAAGAATCGTGCGAAGTGCCCACCAAATGGGGAACCAAGACTTTAAAGAAAGCTGAGAGTCGAGATTCCAACAAGGCTGAGCAGGGGTCGTGCACACCTTGTTACTTCTGAATGTAAGATTGCCTTATTCGGCGTGAGTTGCAAGGTTAATGAGCCTCCAACAATACTGTCTGACATGAATAAACCAATAGCGGGCTTTCTCGCCTGTCGGTACGAGTAACGTACTTTTTCGCACCGGTTGTTGTGGATCCAAATACAAGCCCTGCAAAATTTTCATAGGGCGCAGCGAGTGTTTTCATATCGCTAAGACTTGCTGTTGAAAAGAAGTCACTGATTGAGGAGCTTCATCAAACGTGGTCTTCCTGCGCAAACGCTTGTTGGACCGTTCTTCTGAGCACAATCCGAAGGGCTGCTGAAACCACCAAGTATCAAGACAGAAAAACAAATTTAGAAAAGGCCGCATGCAGCACAGCCAACTGAGCAAGCTTGCTCTGGGAGAATTTAGTGGCATTCCCATGTCAGGTAAAAGCAATACAGGTCAATGCATGAAAAAGGCTGGGCTGGACCAATCTCCAACGAAACATAACATTTTCTGCTGTGTAACGACTGGAGATTGTCACTATAAGCCACGAACAACAAGCTTTGCCAATATTTCGAAGCTTTCTCCGTTGACGAACACGACAGAGCTGACAGTCGCTGAAAGCCACTGCAAAACGTCAAATGAGACAATAATAGAAAGCCTTCTGACAATTTCTGCTCACCAGGACGCGGTTCTGGCCATTTCAACCACCAACAACGGCTTCAAGTGATCGACAACGGCCGGACCCCACTGCAACGGACTCCCTCTGTACCAACATGTTGGTGAAGATGTGGTCTTCATGCTGAGGTGCCAAGTATCAGTCTTCGGCTTTCTGCGCCATAGATTCAAACGAGGAGAGTATAGTGATAGGGTGCGGGTGTTGGACGCCTCCTTGGCGGCAGCGGGTTGTTCCTTCAGCTCGACCCAGCCCAGGCCGTGAGCCTGGGGCGAAGCGCAGCAATTTCACCAGTGAGGGCGTTCGGTTATGTTGATGTAAGATACACGAGTTCGGGGAACTGGATTGTTGAGAACAACAATCTGGAGTTGTCAAAGAAGAAGACAACGGGGGTTGTCGTTACGATCGGTGCTTACATGACCCCTGAATTGGACCCACTTCCGTTTGACATTAAAAAACGTGATATGTGCATGTATCGTCTCAACAGAAGCATTTTTCCTCTCGATGAAATCAATTTCAATTCAAGTCATGAGACTTGCGTAAAGTGTATTAGATTTCAAGTTTATAAAGTTGCACAAGAGGTCCTGGTGACTCAAACCGAACCGGCTTCGAGTGTAATCTGCTCCCCATTCCAGAATTAGCAAGTGCAATAGCATACTAATTGTGCATCGAGAAAAGTAGAGCGTTTCATTTTGTATTTGTATCGTTTCGAAACTTCTTTGTAAGCGGGGCAAATTATAATAACACATGTCTTTTTTTGGGTTACTGATAAAGCGGTTTCTTTTCAAGCGGCAGGAGCACTACCTGATGGCTAGCGAAGCAATACAGAATAGAATAATTCTGTCTCGTTCTTGGCCGATACTAGAATTTACTTTGTTCCGTTGTCCCTACGTTCTGATAGGTAGAAAGACAAGGACCTAATTCTTCCCAAATTCTTACAACACTCTAGAAGTTACTGCTCTGCTTATTATTTTAATTAGACCTTGAGTTTAATAGTTAGAAGTAAATGACATCCTCTCTTTAGTTGCCAAACCAAATCTTTCAGTGAACTTGTAGCGCTTTTTGAGAAATTTGCAAACCCAGCACCAGGACTTCCTCAAGCCGACAACCGGTAGGAATAAAATACGCGCACCACCCGAGCTACATAGCCCATAAGGAAGAAGACGAGCGCCGACTTCTTGGACGGCGGTACATAATGAGCGGTGATACTGGAGGAGGAAGTAGTGGCGATGGCTGTGGTGAAGGTGACGGGGGAGGGGTGGTGTTGAGTGAGGAATTACATACGAAGGAGCATAATGACATGTTATCTACCATTTTGTTTGTCTACGCGATTTAAGAGATACTGGATTACTAAACACTCTCTATGACAAGAAACGTTGCTTGGTCGATCGATCTCTCCATAACAACAAACCTGTTTATAATGGGGAATGAAACATCAAAACCAATAAATGAATTTGAACATTTTGATGTGTTCGGATGTGGCAAGTCAAAACGAAAGCAACGTCTACGAAAGATCTACGCCCGTGCATTATTGTCGGTGCGTGCTGGCAAGTTCTAATATGAATTGAGCTTCTCAAAGTGAGTGAGTGCCAGGAATCTTGCTATGCCAAAGAAAGAGGCAGACATGAGCATTGATTTTTGAGACCTTTTTTTGCATACACCGCGCGGTAAATATTTCTGATTGCCTTCATTAATAACACTAAACATAGTTACTATTGAATTCGTTACCATTGATTGAGTACCTTCTGCAAACATATAAGTCATCGCTCCCAATGAGAATCGGGCGTGCTCCAATCAAGCTTCCACAGCCACAACCAGTAACCAGGAGAATGCCCCCCAAGAAGAACCCCAAATGGTGTCATAACACCAAAGCTACCTCGCCTACGAACATGATGAAAGTCGACATGGCGAATCACAGAGATCATTCCAGTCAAGCTATCCACTTTCAACGTAAGACAATGTGTTTCGCGTCCGGCATGAAAGTAGTTGGATTGTAGGACATAGCTCCTTGGATCTACCCAGCCGCGAAGAGTGAAAGTTGCATGTCTCTCTACCCATCTATCTTCCAAGTTGCCGTTAGTATGTGGTGGTTGCTCATAATGCCTGTATTTCATTTCTGCATTCTCCCCACCAATACCGTCCCACGTATACAGGGGCCAACGTCTTTGCCGTGATAAATGAATCACAAGTTCATAGCCGATCCATTGAGAGCCCGTGAAGAATTCAGGGGCAGCCATCTTATTGATATGGCAAAGGCTAAAGTCTTTTAAGGCTTCGGCCTCAAATAAACTTGGTACGTTCATCAACATAGGAAATGAAATCCTCTCTATCAGAGGCGGGTTGGATGTTCCGTCGGGCTCCCAACTAAGGTCGTTTCGTTTCTCAGTCAGATAGGCCCATAGCTCGATAGCAATAAAGCCAATGGCTTTGTTGGCAAGTGTGTGAAGTATGACCGCAAGCTTGAGGTACTCAGCAGGTCTTGATTCTGGCGTAATGTCTTGAATTACCGTCCAGGGAGATGTCTCGAGAAATCTTTTGGCAGGAGCCCATAGATTACTAACTTGGCTCTGATCAAGAGAGATTCTTTTTAGTATCGCTGCTGTAAAGCAAAAGCTAGCGGCTTGTGTCTTATGCCACACATCAATAACAATAGAAGATTGAACGTCCACAGGGTAATATAGCATGATCCCTGGAGATACAGTAGGCATTCTACCCTCAAATAGTGGCATATCAGACGAGTAATGTGTTGGAAGAGACAGAATGTGGAGTTCGTTGAATTTGAGGGTAGAACACACTTCATCTAGCCACAATCAGAAAATATTTCTTCTGAGCATAGTACGGAATTAGCGACTGAACCCGAAACTTACTTACGATAATATATCATCGCTTGCGGCAACCAAAACAACAGTTTGTCTTCGTAGGTAACATTGCTTGTCTTAGCATCTGCGATAACAAAGTTCTTCCAAATCATCCCGCCAGAATCCCGCGATACAATCGGATGAGTGGCAAATCCAGAATTCAAGCGAATCTTTTCGCGCCAGACACCAGGCTGATTGCACGCCTCGTGTACCCTTCTGCAACAATGGATGAATTTCAGAGCTGATTGCGACGGAAGTGCTATTGCAATAAGTTGTAAAATCTCGGTCGGCAGGAAATTCAAAGTGTCAGGTGGTTGCCTGGCTTGGTTGGCCATTATATCCGTCATTTTTATCTGAGAATTACGACACAAATTGTGTAATCTAAGAGCGAAAGAAAGAATTGTTATTGTACTGGTAGATTTTCAAAAGTAGAAGCCGTGAAAATTGCAAAGTGTATATATGAACTTCGTGATGGAAGGGGATAAACATGCGAGCGTGCGTGAAGGCACCAACGCCAAGACCAACACGATTGACAGCACCTAGAGAATTCAGAAAATGTTGAAGGCATCGTATTGGCCACTCATATATAAAAAGGGCATACTTATTATCCAGAGACCAGTAATCTCATCCTGACAGTGTGCCACTCAGTTCCTGCAACCTCGAGCGAATAATCTTTAAATACCTCGCTGAGGACAAAATAAGTGTCAGTTACTTGCCCGCCAGTTTTTGGACTGAATAAGTCGACTTCGAATAAACTTAAGAATCTAATTTACTTGAAGTAATTGACAGAATTTGTTATATTGTTCTGACTTAACCCACTAAATAACGATAGTTAGTCAACTTGATCAAAAAAAAATCGCGTTTCGACTACCACTTATTTTGTCCACCGCGAGAATGCCTAAGATTTGTGTAAACATTTGACCCATCTAGCAATTAGACAGCTTTGCTCGTCTCGGCTCGTTACTTCACAGAGTGTCTCCCGAGTTCTACTATAGTGACTTGCCTCCGAATATCACCACCTGTTACAATGTGATTCCCTGATATACAACCTTCGTTGGCGAGGACCTATCATAACATCTCAAGGGATCATATGCTTTGCTTAATATTTTGATTCCGACCTGCCTCACTTCGTCTCGTGAAGAATAACATGTTCTGAATCATTTTACTCGCCAATAATGGAATTGACCAATTCTAGTACAAAACAGAATACTGTAGTTCTCGTTTCGAACGACTATATCCTATTTCGTCTCAATGGATAAGTATCGGACATAAATGCCATTTTTGGTAGAAGTCTAGATCACGACGAGAGGAATCCGCGGTAATAGAGCAATTGGAATTCTTCCCATCCTCACCGAGAATAAACATTCACAATTTCTCTCGCCCACGTAATGAATCAAAAGTGATTTAAAACTTACAACATTGGAAACAGACATCTTGAGGTGAACAACACCACCCACTCACCTACAAAAATCTCTTTCCCCCTTTCTTCCTTTCCCCCATTTCTCTAAACACCACACTCCGACCACCAGCACACTCTCAACAACCTCACAACCACAAATCTCAGCAACAACCAGCCCACCAACAAAATGTTCTTCTGCTTCGGACACAAATCCAAACCCTCGTCCTCATCCACAACACCCGCCGCAATCCGACCTATAGTAAGAACAAACACTGTCACTCCCACTTCAAACCCAACAACAAGCTCATCCACCAGAAGACCGCCCACCAGGAGAGGGCCATCCGCGGATTCCTCCACACTCCCGCCTACTTCCACACCCACAGACTCGAAACCTGAGGAGTTGCAAGGAGTAAATGAGGTAACACCGGTTCATTAAATAGTATTTATATGAGAGCTAAAGGTTTATAGTTCAACTCTGTTACTGGTGTAGCACAAGCTCATGGTACACGTCAGAACACAGGATGTCACCAAAGGTTCATAGGGGGTTAATCCGGTATAACCAACGGAGGTAATGGAGGTGGAGGTGGCGGCGAATGAATCACGTAGGAAGCGCGATCCCTTAGTCCGGCATGAGACGCGGAACTCAGGGTTACTTATTAGTGGTGACTAAAGTGTACTGCGGTGAGATTGCTAAAGTAACAGACTGCATCATATTGGAATAAAACAGCACTTCTCTGAATTTTGGCACCATTTTTATTTCGAATTTCTTTTGTTCTCCTGTGAAATCCGTTCCTTGTAACATAGACAGTATTTTGAGAACAACGTGTTCTCGGCGAACCTTTACAACAATCTCAAATTGAGGTTTGCTGAGGCCATTGCATCTGTGACCTCTCTCAGATCCGGCAAAATTCTTCCGACTATCTTATCATCATCTGATTCCTTGATACGCCTCGTGACCTCTTGGGCCGGCTTTCCTTGCCTCCTTGTTGATATTTCTAGGAAATTGTAGCTTTCGCAATATTTCGAACTCTGGCTGACTGATCAGGTTACCGCTGTTGGTCTTGAATACAGTGGTTTTGATATAATAAATACTTCCTTCCAAATTATGGGTGTCTGGTGATTTATTCGTTCCGTTCCGTTCATGAACTCTAACTTCATCCCCTTCACTGATCAATTGTAACGGTGGTTGTGGTTTTGATGCCAGTACTCCAGTCGATGCTGTTAAAACTGTCAGACGATGGCATCGGAGGGACGTCGTGCAATTTTAATTGACTTTCGCTTTTTTCTCTATAGCTTCGTCTGGCCAAGCTAAATCGTTGACGGAAATGATCTCGTTCGGGTTGAATTCCTTCCGCTGTGATTTCTGTAGTGACACCAACTCTGCTCAACCCGAGCATCTCCGCAAATTCAACACTGTAGTCCGCAGCATTAACACTGTTTTGACCCTTGAGATTGATAGAACTTTCGGTTGAAGGCCTATCGTCGTCATCCATTGAGTCGAATCGTTTTCTCGCGAAGAAGAATGAATTCTTGAAGAGTGGACGAAGTGTTGCAATGTTGGAAGCTGTCATGGCGATTGCGGGCTCGACCATCGACCATTTGACCAAGTTGATTCCCTCCCAAGACCAATCGTCTGTGATTGTCAGGCTCCGAATGTATACAATACGAACAATGGTGGCGGTGCTAGCGCTGGAAGATGGTTAACCTTGTTACATTGATACAATTGGGAAACTTACAAAAAGCCAAGTGACAAAATTAAGATGACAGAGAACTTCGTACGAGGATTCATCTGCATTCTCCATACAAAAAATACAGGTAGAATACCAAAAGCCCAATCGGTAACAGCAGACATGGCAGTATGCGTATATGTTACGTTCGAAAGAATAGGATGATGCAAACATTTGCCCACGCCTCCATCGAATTGGGTCCACAGATGATTGATCGGATCGCATTGAAATAGCAAGAAGAAAAAGTACATGGTACTTATTGCCATCACCACGGCCAAGGTGGTGTAGATGGTATATACTTGATATCGTTTACTCGAGAGCCGAAGGAGATAAACCCCGATCGAGAGTTTCGTGACGGCCGTACAAGTCACGTACAGAAGTTCGCATATGAATATGTACTTGAAGCCGGTTTGTTTACTGGCATCAGGAATATTGTACATATGCGCACCGAGTCCGAAAGAGATGGCGATGAGACAGAGAGCACATAGAAGTGTGAGGAGGATCTACGAAAGTCAGCGATCGTTAATTCTCCGACTTCGATTTTGGTCCGCGCACCATTGAGGCGATCATCAACCAGTCCTCCCGCCCGACGAACCTCAAGATCCTGGTCCGAACATAGAGTCGCAAAGAGAATGATATCCAAGTCAGAGACAGAGCCATCACGGCTATGCCAGTGACCTGTGCACCTCTCGTCACTCCGGTGTACATTTTCGAGACGAAATGTTGTGTTTATTGCAAAAGAGTGACAGTGGAAGAGAGGAGGCGAAAAATCGAGAAAGCAAAGGACTGGAAGCACCTAAGATTAAGAACTATCCCGCCGACAACCCGCCGTCCAAAGAGTGAACGGGATCATTGGGAAGATGATAACGCGGAGACGATGGGAAACGCCAAAAAGCCCACCACGACAGAGCAAGTCGAGCCTTCCTCAAAGAATATTAGACCAGGGTCTGGGCGTCAAACTTGAGACAACTCAGTCGAATAAACGTTACCAGATTGTCTTTCGCTCTTGGACCACGCAACTGTAATTAGAAGCAAATTCGCGTCCAACTGCAGTTGTAACCGTACCTACATGAACCGACGAGGTTATTCCTACTTGTTTGCATCAGTCGTTCGTGCTTTACTTACTCGATGTTCATGATTTCCCAGCTTCAACCCGGTAGACTCGCATCTTCACTGTCAGGATCTCCCATAGCAATCATATGCAGTCTCAATATGGAAGGATCGACGCTCTATTGTGAGCCAAGCGACAGATTCGCACTGGGCCATTGTGTTCATTGCCAATCAGCTTTCGTAGATGCTAGTGCTTAATCTATGGCTTCCCCATTGCATTCTTCGATTGGTCTTCGCGTGTTCGTGTTGGACAAAGAAAGTTGGGAAAGCAAAGAGCGGATCGACAGATCGACAATGTTATTGAGAACGGGAGCTAGACAAGCGAGATCAAGGGGCTTCCCAAATGGGGCGCAGAGTGACCAAGGACGAGATTACCGACAGGTTTGAACGACTAAGTGGAGATTTGATCACGATGGGATTGCTTTTTCCCCGAACGTCAACGAACCGTGCGTTCATCCCAATTACTTCGAAGTACTCCGTACCCATTCAGATAAACTCAAGGAACTCTTGTTCGTTCTCCTGTTCATGAAACAATTGCCATCATTTATTGTAAGGGTTTGCAACTGGATTACAAGTCCGAGCCAACAAAACACTAACCGCTTGTCGGCTCAGCCCTTTGACACATTAACCAGATCTGGATCTTAGGGCAAAGCTAACATATTTGGGCTTCCAGGAACCATTTTGTATGGTTGTCTGGCGGAGATTTCGGCGACCTCCCGCACGTGAAGCAATTGAAGCTGACGTGCAATACCGGGGGGCCGGTTGTCAATAAAGTTTATTTGGTATCATGGGATACGCGTAGACCTCTTTCGAGTCACACGAGACGAACATGCACGGCTGCGGACCATCACCAAAGGCTTCATATTTCTTGAAAAAGGTATAGCTATAGATGATCGTGGCCTTTGCGCGACCAGAGAATACCTCTCGGTCAAAGCGGCTGTGCGGCAGATGGACGGAACAGACTCATGCATTTTTGCACATTCACATTCACACTTACGCGGCATTGCTTATGGCGTCCCATGGAAGCAAAAATTTGAAGGAAAGAAAGAATTTGTATGGTTATCATGTCTATTATTTTCTAAGTTTGCAAAGTCCACACCTGCCATACGCGACGTTTTCGAAGAAATTTGCAAGAAGCGAGATCCTTATGGTAGATCACTGCACCACTCATCGCCATGGAATATCTTATTTCTATGCTTGTTCTACTGATGTTTGACTTCTCTATGTTTTCAAGACCCGAAATTCCAAGACCCCGGCAGGCTGCAGTCAATATCATGGTCAAGTGACAGCAGCAGCGGTTTTCACTGTTTCCAAAGTTTATCTTCTCCTGGCGGTGTTAAAAGGGACACCAGATTGATCTGTTCGCCATTCAACTGGCAACACGAAATCATGACCCATCGAGGCTGACTCTCCCCCAGACGAGCTACTCTCTTCCCTATTCGAATAATATGCCGGCACAGGAGGTACATCCTCACCCAAAAGAGCTCGACATTGACCGTACAAAAGATTCAAAGAACGCAAAATCGTACTTCCACTGGCCTGATACTCCCGCAAGAAAGCCCGAATCTCCTCATCCCGCTCCCTCCCAGATAAAAGCTCCAGAGCAAGGACAACAACGTGGACACTCTTCATAAAGACGTCCGCCGTTTCGCTCGTCAACATAGGCGCTGCACGATTCATTCTGCGGCGACCTCCTTTGCATTGTGGCATTGCTCTTTCATTGTGAGAGAGAATTAGCATTACATTTGCTCTCGCAGTATGAATAATGTCCAGGACTCGAGCTCGTCGCCGGAGTCGCTCCTGGATTTCCTCTTGAGATTCTTGCGGGCGTCTGTGGACTTCCTGTCCTTCCTGTCGAGCACGTCCGATCAGGCCATCGAATACTCGTGTTCGCCTCTCCGTTTCCTGTCGTTCTTGGATTATTGCATCGAGCACTTGTCTTCCTGTCTCCGGGCCCAGGCCATATTCCGCTCTTCTCGCCATCGCTCGTTTGAGTGGATCCTTTCGTTCTTTTCGTGCGATTTTTCTCTTTTGGCGAAGTTCACGGATGGCGTCAATCCCAGCGAGCAAGAATAGCTGGCATCTCGTCTCATACGCCTCTTGAATCAACACATGAGCTTCACTTATGAAATGTTGCTCCGAGGGCATGGGATGCTTGCAGGCGCGTTTGAGAACGTTAATAGCCTCTTCCACACGTTCTGTCATTTGGATAATCTCGGGGACGGTATAATGACGAGGCAAGCGCCCGTCGTCCCATGCATCGTTGTTCATATCATCGTATATTTGGTATGCGTCACACGTGGCCTCGTACAGATGATCCATTGACCGTTCAACTTTCCCAGGCCATCTACCGTCAATCATATGAGGGACCTCTGAAATGTGGTGGTAGGTCCAGGGCGCTGGTTTCATATCGCGTGACTCCATGGTGGATTGTAAAGGCTGGCTATTTGTGGTTTGAATTTTTTGAAGGTCAAGTCTTGGAGGAGAAAGTTGAGATGTCTGAAGCTGAGCGGCATGGCTTCTTGTATTCGTTTGTCGCACTGTTTTTAAGCGAGTGTTATTGTTCCAGGATTGTTCCAGTAATGAATAGGTGATTGTCCACCGATCGACTCACTGAATCAAGTGGCAAGTCGCGATTCACTTTATGTTCACGAAGGGATTCAATGGCTCAATATCACTTTCACATTACCGAGAGCTTATTATTGAGATTTCGTGATTGATAATTTTAAAGTGTTTGATATTCTGGCCAACGAAATCTTGTAACTGATTCTACAAAGAAAAATATGCAAGGTTTCTAACCGATTCTAGCGACACTTCATTTGTAATCTCTTTCCCAAAAAGGACATAGCTAAAGTTCAGGATAAGGAAGTAAAGTTAGATCTACGATAGCTTCAGTAATTGAAACTAAAGGAAAAAGAGTTGAAACTACGTCGATTCATCATCCGAATCATCCTCCTCCCCACCCATCAACACCCTATCAACCGCAACCCTCAGCGCCGCTAACCCCCTAGCAAAACTACCATAACTCCCAGCAGAATATTGCTCCACATACCTCCTCAACGCAGTTTCTCTATGTCGCGGCGAGAAAGTCTCAAGATATTCCGTGAGTCGTGCAGCAGAATTATCTATATCCCTCGCGGCAGTCATCGAAAACTGAGCTCTGAACTGAGGTGGTCTTCGCATTTGAATCTCCCATTGACGCTGGTAATACTCCAATCGTCTGAGAGCACGCTCACCTCGCGCTCTGATCTCACGACGTCGAAAGTAAGCGGCTCGTCGATTGTAGCGTTCGCGCACGTCAAGGATACGGGTTGCGTATTCCTCGATGTCGAGCTCGAGTTCGATGCAGATGTTAGTAACTCTGGTAAGAATCATATTTTGACGAATCTCATGGTATGTATCGAACAATCTGCGCCGTTCTTTGACGAGGTTGTCTACGCAGGCGAGACGCAGGAGAGTCGGTTGGACACGATAGCTGTCTATCTTCAGAGGACCGCAGAAGGCGTGGTAGGCCGTGCTCTCTGTGTAATTGAGAGTTTGGAGGAGCGTCTGTAGATCTCGTAAGTCGGCGACGTATCCGGCTTGGGATTCGTTGAAGATCCTGTCAAGACGACTTCCTGGGGGATTAGGGTGACCTTTTTCTTCTCGCCACTCTTCAATGAATGTTTCAATACGTGCCTGTCTGTTGATATGCTCTATCTTGTCTTTAATCCGGAGCATTTCGGCTCTCGTCTGCCGTGGCATCTGTCTCCGAAAATCAGCTCCCATTGCCCGTCTTAGACGTGGTCTGTTGCCATCGTCGAATGGGCATTTACGCTTCCTATTGACGACCGCGGAGGGATAGTGTCTAGCATACCACTCAGCGGCTTGGGCGAGGGCAACTAATTTTGCGGAATAGATTTCCATTTCATCTGTCATCTCAACTTCCATTGCATCTCCTTCCGAGGCGACGGAAGAATTTCCTGGGGAGCTAGATGGCGTGGCTGGCCAGTGTTCGTCGACCTCGCTAATGGAAATGCAGTTTCTGAGGGGGGAGGACCGCATGGGTCTGTTTTTAAACGAATACATGATTTTAGAACCCAGCTCAATAAGAATATTTAACATGAATTTAGAACCGAGCGTCTAAGTAGCGGGACTGAATTTTTTAAAAAGCTTTTCAACACGTTGTTGTCTTCCCCTGATTTTGTTTCGGCTCGCATTCTTTGTTGTATGTTTTGCGGGTTGAAAGAAAGGGGCACGAACATCTCTTTCATGTATAGAATTTTAAACCAAGACAGTAACAGATAAAACTCATAAGTGGCTTCTCTTATTAGATATCACAATGTTTGAACAAGAAATTTGCAAGTCTCAATCCCTCCCTGTCTTGGTGTGCAGGTTCAAAAGTTCTTATCAGTGTATCTAAATTTGGTATTCATGTTGTCGTCTTTACAAGGTAGTCGTTCGTAACGAGCTCCATGCAAAGATGGTAGGTATATCGACATGCTCACTGGGTCATCGAGCATCAATCAAACATTCCCAGCCTCCCTCCACATCATCTCTTCCATCTCATTCTCAGGTCCTCTCCACATCGTCTCTCCCACCTCCACCTCCCTCTTCTCCTCTCCCATGGGTCCCCACTCAATCGGCAATACTGCCCCCGCAACCTCATCCTCAACTTCTCCCTCCTCCAGCTCAAACCCCTCTTCAACCTCATGCCCCGTCTCCACCAAATAAAAAATCTCAAACCACTCCTCCACCTCGCCCCCAAGTTTCCCAAGCAACTCCAACAAAACCCTCAACGCAACCCCAAAGCCATCCTGCGGAAACTCCCACTGCAGATACGCCCTCAAAGCCTCGTGTCTCTCCCCTTCGCTCAATGATTCGAGATACGCAATCACAAGCCACGCCTGCGCATCGCAGCGCTCCGCGTCTTCAGGCGCAATGGGATGCGTGATGCCGAGCGCGCGGTGGTGGTGCAGGGACTCCGCGGCGGCGAGAAGGGAGAACATGGAGGTTTGGGCTTCGAGGGCTGTGGGGGTGGTGTCGAAGATTAGGGAGGTGGGGATTGTTGAGTTGGAATATGACATTTTGAGTGAGCGTCTTTGTGAGGGTTAGAATTGGTGGAGGAGTGAGTGGGTCTGGGGAGGGAAAGGATTTATTGGGTTTAGGGGTGGTTGTTTTGATTAATGATGGTGTTGTTTAGAGAGTGAGGATTGAGTCAGGGGTATTACTGTTCTTTCAGTTTTTCGCCACTTTGAGAACTAGGGGCATGAGACTAGATGTGATTGCTACTGATTTATGAATGTTTAAGCCAAGGTAGTTTCTTGAGGTATAGTTATTGTATAGTGGTGATATGCTTGCTTTCAATTGTTAGTCTCGCTTAAGTTTATACCATCCCCTATTCACACCATAATCACTTGCACATCTGGAATCCCACGCCTGATCAACAGACCGGCCAATAACTCATGTCCTATCTATATCAGAAGATCACAGGTTTAGTCAGACGCTGCACCAAGTAAGCTCAATGAAAAGCATGCTAGAATGGCTTTCCTCACCACTTGTCTTCACTCTGGTTTCCCCTCCATCCAGTGACCCATCTCCCCAGAGACATCATCCAGCGGATCAGCATGTTCCGCGGCATTATCCTCTACTTCTTCCTACATCTGTCTTGTCCTGAAATCACTTTCAGTCTTTCCATTATTTGTTCCATGTCAAAATTGAACCATTCTAGCGACAAGACCTGGGTGGGTTTCAGGCCCAATGGTGGATGAGTCCGACATGTGATTGACTTACGTATTCGTGACTATAAGAATGTTCCGGTATTGTATCTGTAGAGCCTTTGATTCTTGACGATTCTTTTTTGAGCTGTCTCACTGCCTTTTTGCACTATGCTCGTTAATCACAAAACATCGCATTATCAATCAGGATTACTCACAGAATATCAAGATGACTGAAAAAGGTATTGCTATCATGTTAAGACACGGGAACACACTATCTGTCGTATATATAAGAGCAAGATGTCCCGAATGACTGTGAAATGAATGTTCGCCTTCAGCCCAGTCATAATAGCCCAATCACAGCCCGGATTGGTAGTTTGTTCTTACCATTCGTCTCTTGTGTCACATCAACTGCTAAGCGAGCTGTCAGTTCGAGGTACAAGAGCTGTGTGGCTTGGAAGGATAGAATGGCAAGTTTGTTTTATTGTCGTACTCCACTTCTCCTGATTATTCCTCTAGCTGAACGACTCGTTGAGACAAATATAAACTGGGCGAGACGGAGTGCCCCTTTTCCAGTCGAGTCGGAGGTATTTGCAGGTGTGTAAGGCTTCTTGATGCGCAAGGCAATTCGCTTGGGTTGAAGTTTCCGAATACCAATCTAAGACCATGAGAAGAAAACTCCGCAGCACACTGCCATATCACCAACACAACATGTGCTATGCGAATCTTGGACTGTTTTCCTGGTAAAAAGATATTAATTCATGGTGGTGGTACATGCGGCTCATCTACTTCTACAGGTGGAGGCGGTGGTTGTTCGCTCTTCCTTGGCTTAACAACCAAGAGTATAATCATGCCCACGATTAACAAAATCAATAAAAATATAATCCTCCGTTTCGTGCCCTTTTTCTGGTATCCCGAAGCAACCTTTAACTCCTTATCCGCAGCCTTCACATCCGTAGCCATTCGTTCTACGTTGTAATCTATTCGATCTAACATCGTTCCTTGGTCGATGATCATGCTTTGCAACTCCTTGAATATGTCTGCCAATTCAATGATACCCTGGGCGATGTCCATGATTTCTCGTTCGCGTTGCATGATGGCGGCGTCGTTCGAGGTCAATTGTTTCTGAGCGGTCATTTGAAGGGCCGATTCCGAGTACGACTTGTCGGCGTCGGATTCCATTAGTGATGGATCGTTGTAATTGTTGTACAAGGGCGTTGATGCACGATCAATTGGTGGATTCATTCCACTAAGGCCACGAAGCTCTAATGGACGTCAGTATACTGCAAATATCGCAGATGGAACTTGCGCGCCAAAAGAAAATACTAACTCTTTAGATAAGCACTTTGCTTCTTCCTAAATCCAGCGCTGGCCTCTTGTACTCTCCCCGCTAAAGATATCTGAATGTTCCTAGCCATTGTCTCTTCTCCCTTGCTGATGCCCCCAGAATTTTGAGCTTCTCGTACTAGCATTTCGACCCTCTGTATTGCTTTCTGACAATCGTGAAATCCTTTTGTGATATCCTGGGTCAGGTATTCTATCTCCGACTCCTCTCTTCTCTTCGCTTCCTCGTCATCAAATCCGGGTAGTACATGTTTCTGGTGCAGCTTTTCCAGCTTGCTACTCTTGCTTGCGATATCTGTCAGATATTCTGTAACTTCATCACTGATATCGGCCCACCGCGGCGGTAGTAGATCCATCTCTATCACGGCGTCTCCATCATCCTCGAATGCGCCCGCGGACATAAGTCCTTGCCGCTCCGAAGAGCCCCCTCCAATGAAACTGTCATTGTATCCATTTCCAGACGCTGAAGCCGTATACTTCGGTTTCTTCGCAGGGTGGTGTGCGTAGGACTGCCGGTATGATATGTAACTATTGCAATTAGCAAGGAGATTGAGAGCTATTGCGTAGGTACCCAAACGTACAGATTGGTGCGATCGCGCCACATGGCGGATGCAGATCAGGCTGGTTCCTCCTATTGCAAGTGAAGTAGTTACATGAGTTTTGAGTATCACCTCTTCCAATCATGAAATAATCGACTGTTTGTTAATGGGTACTTTGTAAATAGCATGTTGTTGTCCAGTTGTCTTTCGCAGGGGCGGTCCAACACGACTAAGCCGAGCTGTCATGTCGATGAAGCCTAAGGCATCCAAGTTAGGATCTAGCCGATGGGCCAACCCGCCGACCAAAAGCTGCGCCAAGCTCGATCCAGGCCACCGTAGGCCTTCCCTCACTTCTCCACCACAACAACTGAGAAGGCAGACCCAACAACCTTAACCTCCCTACAGTCGACACCCAAACGAGAAGCATCCACATCGAGAGCTTCGTGCCAACTACTCAACATTACCTGATAATACCTCCTCACTTCCAGTCCGAATCACTCGTTTACACCTTTACAACATGGTATGGATTTCTGCCTGCCTTGCGCTTCCCTGTTTAAAACGAACCCCGCGATCGACCCTCAGAGAGCTACGACGATATGGAATTTGCTGATCAACAACTGACACATACTCTCACAGGCTGATTCTCTTACTGAAGAGCAAGTCTCCGAATTTAAGGAGGCATTCTCTCTCTTTGTAAGTGGAATTTACTTCCTCGGCTTGCGAGGCTATTGGTGTGGTTTTTAACAGAAAATTGGTGCTGACAACATCTGACACAGGACAAAGATGGCGATGGTTAGTATTCCCGATATCCCCTCGAATAGATTTGCCATACCCATATTACGACGTGCCGGGGCTATAAATCTGTGGATTTTTTCAAGACTTGTTTGTTATAAGATCATGACCCTTTTGAGCAACGTGGGGTTGTGGCACACGGTGTTGTGAAACCAATTGTTATCAGGAAGCTGATACGCTTGTAGGACAAATCACCACCAAGGAATTGGGCACCGTCATGCGGTCTCTTGGCCAGAACCCTTCTGAATCCGAGTTGCAAGATATGATCAACGAGGTTGACGCCGACAACAACGGAACGATCGATTTCCCAGGTAGGCAGCGATTGGTTGCCAATAGTGGGCAGCAGGGCTGATTGAATTAGAATTCCTTACGATGATGGCGAGGAAGATGAAGGACACAGATTCTGAAGAGGAAATCAGAGAGGCGTTCAAGGTAACTTCGTGCAAACGCATTTACGGCCCCATCATGGACGGCGCTTATTTGGATATAGGTCTTCGATCGCGACAACAATGGATTCATCTCAGCTGCCGAGCTAAGACATGTCATGACATCGATTGGAGAGAAGTTGACAGATGATGAGGTTGACGAGATGATCAGAGAAGCCGATCAAGATGGTGATGGACGCATTGACTGTGAGTCAAGCTCCTTAAGGCATATCCTCCCCACAAGCTGACACTTTACAGACAACGAATTCGTCCAGCTCATGATGCAAAAGTAATTCCTTTCTTATTTTTCGCGCGTGCGAGTCGCTGAACCTAGCATGATTCTTCGGAAAAGATCTGCTTCAGGTAGCTGGGCTGCTGGATTGAGGCCGTTTAGATTCGGTGGATAGGCTATGATAACGTTACGATGATTACCCTTCGGCAATACAACTCCTAAACTTCTTGACTAGAGACATGCTTTCGATTGCCCTGAGTCTGGGTAGCTGATGTTGCCAATGTGACTGCTTCGGGCTCGGATTACCTGCCTCAATTTTACGATGGTAATTGCTTCTTGGAGCTCCAGTGATAGGTATGATATGGACAACTATCTGTTGATCTATGCTCGACTTATTAGTGCTGCGGACACTCTCCCAACCTGAATCAAGCTTTTGCATGTGATTGCAGTATTACCTTTAGAGTTTCATTGCATGCACTCTCTCGGGAGTAAAGTAGTCGTACCTGATCGCCAGGACTTTGTCTCATTTGATAGATATTTTCACAATCAATGAAAAGATAAACAAGACTCACGATCACCATTTTTGACTCAAGCTATTCACTATATGAAACACCGCTATCATCTATATAGAGATTGTGTGTTGAGTTATAAATAACACAAAGGATCCCCCCACATCAACTTGTGGGCATTCAAGCTAACTTTGGGGTCCCTGCTTACTCGTTACCACCAAGCGCCCGGCCCCAGACGACAATACCCGCCCGAGCAACATGTCCAACATTGGATACTGATTCAACCATACCAACCTCGTTGGTTTCTTTCAGCATTGGGATATGTTTGGGTTTCTTCACGACCGACTTCTGTTCTTTCGACTTCTTTAATTGACCTCAAACGACTTTCATTGTGCTTGGAGTCGCATCCCCGGCATAGTCAATCTTCCACACAATATAGGCATGTTAATACTTGTCACGTATTTTTACCTTTCGTTGTACTCTTCACCCGTCACCTAAAGCTTCTACCCAAATGGCAGTAATACGGCGCTGGCGAGTTGCGGCGCTCAGCATCATCCTCACTCTCAGCTTCGTGTACTATCTTTACCAGAAACAAAACGTTTCTTACCTCCCCTTCTCCGCCTCCAACTACGCCGACGGGAAAACCCACTGGAAGAAGCTCCCCGAGCAGAACCCTATTTCTTCTTTCATACCTTTCCCGGCTGGAGCGCCGAAGCCGATACCTGCGATTCAGACGCATCAGCCGAAAGAAGATGCGAAGCAGCTGGAGGAGCGCTTGAAGCGCAAAGCTGCGGTACTAGAGAGCTTCACGCATAGCTGGGAGGGATACAAGCAGCATGCTTGGTTGAGGGACGAGGTTGCCCCTCTGACTGGGAAATACAAGGACACTTTTGGAGGATGGGCGGCTACGCTTGTCGACTCGTTGGATACACTGTGGATTATGGGCATGAAGGCTGATTTCGAATTGGCTGTGAAAGCTCTGGGGGAGATTGATTTCACTACGACGGATGCGAAGGATATAAATGTGTTTGAGACTACAATTCGGTATATGGGAGGGTTCCTGGCTGCCTATGACATTTCTGGGGCGAGGTACCCGTTATTGTTGACAAAGGCAATTGAGGTTGGAGAGTTATTGATGTGCTGTTTTGATACCCCAAATAGAATGCCCATCACGAGGTGGGATTGGAAAGCGTAGGTCAACTGTCTAAAATTTACGCGGTGTTTTCTAATTAATCGGCAGGTATGGAACGGGTTCCAAACAGAAAGCTGGAAATACGTTGGTCTCTGAATTAGGATCGCTTTCACTTGAGTTCACACGATTGGCGCAGCTCACAGGAGACGTTAAATACTATGACGCCGTACAACGAATAGGTGATCACTTTGAAAAGGGTCAGGATGGGACAAAACTTCCGGGGATGTGGCCGATTAGTGTAAACGCAGGTGGGCCCTCATTCAATACCGATACGATGTTTACGCTGGGAGGCATGTCGGATTCATTATACGAATATCTTCCAAAGCAATATCTCATTCTTGGTGGTAGGCTTGAACAGCCTAAGAAGATGTACGAGAAGTTCATTGAAGTGGCGAAGAAACACATGTTCTTCCGAATCTTCAATCCAAAGGATGAGGCGTTGTCAGTCTCTGGGGATATCCGCGTTACAGGCATAGATCATTCTGAGCTTTCAGTTCAACCACAAGGCCAGCATCTTACCTGCTTCACTGGTGGTATGGTAGGTATTGCTTCTCGCATTTTTGATCGACCAAATGATCTCGCTCTCGCACAAGAGCTTACAGCTGGCTGTGTCTTTGCATATGACAGCAACCCAAATGGCATCGCTCCTGAGATCTTCACAGTCATGCCTTGTCCAAAGGAAAAGGAAAAGGATTGCAAATGGAAGGACGAGATTTGGTATGATGCACTTGCCGCTGCTCATCCATCCATGTCTGGCGTAGAAGAAACGGCAGAAGCTCGCGCCACCCGACTTAAGAAAAGTGCTGACGAAATGCGTCTCGTTCCCGGCTTCACATATATCAACGACAAACGCTACATTCTAAGACCCGAAGCTATCGAGTCAGTATTCATCATGTATCGCATAACCGGCGACAAGAAATGGCAAGATGCTGCGTGGCGCATGTTTCAAGCCATCGAGAAAGTCAGCAGAACGGAGATTGCTGCTGCGGCTATCAATGATATTACCGTGCCAAAGGAAAACATCAAGGAACAACAGTCTGATAGCATGGAGAGTTTTTGGTTGGCGGAAACGCTGAAGTATTTTTACCTGTGCTTTGATGATTTTACGAATGTTAGTCTGGATGAGTTTGTGTTGAATACGGAGGCGCATCCGCTTAGGAGGCCGAGGAAGTAGGTGCTTTTAGATGGGGCGTTTAGTAGGGATAGATATTAGGTGGATTTTTAATATATATTGTTAGACCTCAGTGGGTGAACAAACATCATTCGCAAAATGTGGTCACGTCGTCGTGGAGAGTGGAGTAGCCTTCAATATTAGTCGGTGCGAGAAATTTAATACTAAACACTGCAACGTTCCATGCTACGATTTGTGCTATTTGGTTTGAGACACATATTCAGATAAAGATAAGCCTCTTGAAGAGTCGGTTTCGATTAAACTTAGCATTCCAAGTTGAGTCAGTTGACAGAGCCGAATTTCTCCTTAAAGCATCTATATATCTCGCCAAACACTCGATCCGCCAAGGAGGGTTTATTTCCATGGAGTTGATGTGCATGTACTCCCTGAGTTATCAGCATCGCTTCATTTTCAGTTCTGAAGCGTTGACTTAAGTTCGATTATTATTGTTTTTTAGAAAGAAATCTACACAATGAACTTGACCTAATATGCTTAAAGCGCGAACTTTTGGAGGATTAGTTGTCGGGTGAGATGGTGGCTCAAAGGCGGGCCCCACTTTCGCTTGTGGTTTTGACCAGGAAAGGAGGGGTGGGAAAGGGGTGGAGGTTGAGCAAAGTAAGTAGGAGTTGGAATACGAGAATGTACTTAATTGAGTTGTTGTGAGAACTTCAAAGGAATTTGGCCTAAAGTAGTCTAGAGTATATTGTGTTTTAGGCCAGCTGCGTAGTTATAATCTCGCAGTCTTCGTGCATCCAACATGTCTTTCCCAGTTTTCTCAACATCTAATTGCTTTTTGTCCTTCCTGAGAGTTTCAGGCACTCGATGAGGTGACTCTATGAGCTTCAAACTGTGGTGACGTTACAGTTGCTCTAAGCTGAGGTAGAAGCCGAAACAGAACCCCCTTTACCATCAAATTGAGCTGAACAAAGAATATGTTTCCAAACATGAGCTCAGTACAATGTTGTGTTCGCTGAAAGAATCTCTTGCATCCCTATAAGATACAACAAACAAGAAGATCCAGTTGCAAAGCATATAAAAGACCTTCAAATTTGTCAATTACGTATAATGAATCCATTCGGAATTTTTGAGCAAGCAGAAGCAGAAGCAGAACAGCAATGGAGAATCCTACCCACTCCCAAGTAGCAACCCAAGGCACAGCTCTTCAATTCTTGAAGCAACAAGAGGTTGAGAAACTAGCCAAGCACCTCCAAATTCTCCAAAAGACTTACGATGATGCTATAGCAAGCATCGAATCCTTCCACGGCGACAACTTCCCCCTAATCGCCAGTAGCATCCTACTCGCTTTGCGAAACCAAGTAGCCTCCCTTCTTCTCATCAACAGGGCTGAAGATCAACATACACAGATCATGTCCGACTCCCGGGCCATCAAAACGGACATCAAAAATCTCAAAAATCTCCTTAAAAGACTAGTCGAACTAGACGCCGTCCATTCCCCAGGACTGTCAAGATCGCAGTCCGATCCCACACCTCATATCAAACAAGCCAAGAAGGCGCACGATCGTCGCCTACATCTCGCTCTCATCCGCCTCTGTGGCCGCAATTGCAGGAAGAATCTGAGTTTGAAGAGGATTGATGCGGTACAAGTACTATGCGATATCACAGTTGTAGAAACACATCTGCAGTTCCGCCATGAGGAGCAGAGGGTCAAGATTATGGAGGATTACTTTTTGAGTACGGTGTTGGCGGATGGGGCGTTTACTCGGTTGAGGTCTATGGCGCAGAGTGTGATGGGGATTTAATTCTCACGTTACTATAAGGGTTGAGTGTCTTTCTCGGTTATGGCGTAGAGAACTAGATACCTAGACATTTAATCATATGAAAGGAGGACTGTTGAGGTGGCCTCAAACTTAAATAACCGAGAGTTCCTTACCGAAAAGCATTATACCTTAAAGGTCTTACTCCTAATTCTTGTTTTTGTGACTCAATTTCAAACTATGGGGATGAATCTTTCTCGACAACGGCTTCGTGAATATAGTTTATAGGGTCAAATCCAGTCACAATTCAGTTAGATGAATAATTTCAAACATCACAAGTGTCCTCTCCTCTCACTTTCCAACGCATGATCTGACATCCTAAACCAAAAAAGCAAACTCAATCACATAATCACTACCTTACCACTCATCCCCATCCCCTCATCTTCCTTAAGACATTATTTCCCAAAACATCCCCCCATCAGTCCTCGCTCCCCACCGCACAAACCACCTCACAGAAAATGTGCACCAACCACCACACCATCCACGCCTGCGGCCACGAAGCTCTACCCTTTCTCCAACGATGCGAAACTTATCACTGGAGACGGAGAATGTGTTGGAGAAGTGTCATGGACAAGATGTTGACGAGAAGTGATGTGGAGTGCGAGGATTGTGTTAAAGTTAGATTTGCGAGGGCTTTGAGGGGAAAGAGGGAGGGTGGTGAGAAGGACCGTGGAGGTAAGGGGAAAGATGATGGGTTTGAGGGAGGATGGGTGTCGAGGGGAGAGAGTGAGAGTGAGGGGTGTAGTAGGTAGGGGTCGGGTGGAGGTTATTGGATAAGAGTTCCGTCGTTGCGAAATGGGAGGGAGGTTGAAATGGCATGGATGGAAGGGATTATCCGATTCTTGTATCATGTCTATTAATATTCGAAGGTTAGCATGAACCGCCAATAAACTCATCAACTAGTTACTCATTTTGTTTGCTCTGTTTAATATACCGAATATGTTGGCTGTATGAAAATTTGTACTATCAACTTCTTATTGAAAAGTGAGCCCGCGACTTCTCGGAGGCGGACCCGAGAAGAGAAGATCAAAGATCGTTGAACGAGGGGAATAACCAACAAAACGTTGCGATATTAAGTTAGTCTGTAAGTTACGATGACTGGCTGCTTTGCTGATTTAAAGCAATTTCTCTTTATTGAAAATCATTTGGGAACACTCCACCTTCACCTAGCCATACACAACTTAATATTACCTAACTTCCTCTCATTCTATTGTTTATCCTTTTAATAATCATTTCCTTGCCCAAATTAGCAGGTACTAGTCTCTCCTCCTCCATTTCTACCATTCTCTCCTCACGAGTTAGCCAAGCATTAATAAAGCTGACAGTTCGACTCGGTGACATTGCATCTGATCACAGAGGTCTGCCGAGCAACAGAGTGGACACTTCAGCATGAGTAGATTAGACTCAGCGGCAATGCTTTCAGGTTATAGTCTACTTGATTTGATAGCATGAGTCTTTGTTTGTAAATGATAGCGAACAATATTTTCTTGTTGCATGGGACGACAACAGACTTTTCAATAACATAAAATATTGAGTCACAGTCATGAATACTCACAATACCTTCAATTTCCACGTCTATACCCCACTCTTTTCATGAACCTTTGCTTTCCCCATCAAAACCGCCCCCAACTCTTCTCTATCACGTAAATCCTCCTGGCTCCTCCCACCTGATAATCACGCTAAGCGAAGTTTACGACCCAAGGCAAATCCTACCCCAACATCCCAGCCCACCCGAGCTTACACCACAGCCATGAAACGTGGCTGTATGTTGGTTAATTTGGTTTCTTCGCCAAGACCGACCAATTGCACCCGGTAGTACAAACCGCAGGAGGGGGAGGATGCATTGCTGAAGAACGAGTCTACGTGATGGGTGCTGTTGAAGAATCAGGGAGCTGCTGTTTGAAAAATGTTTCTTATTCTGAGAGTAAATCGATTTCATTGCTTTCTTTTGGGGGGTAATCTCAAATTTCGAATAAAAGTTGCGTATCTCAATAACCAACCACTCATCCCCACCCACACCCCAAAGATGCCACCCCTGCCCTCCCTCCCAACCCTAACAACAACCACCCTCAACCTCGCAGTCCGCCAAATATCCAACCCTTCAAGCGACAACGGTGACCCAGCAAACGGCCATCCAGAGTACAGTTCCGATCCGATGGTCAATCCCGCGATACCGTTACCGATGATCTGTCTCGTGATATCTGTTTTTCTAGTCGCGGGTGTAGCGGCAATTATTAATGGTGGGAAGGGGAGGGACGAGGCGAGGAATTGAGATGAAATCAAAGGGGAGGTTTGGGGATGTTAGAGGTTTTGGGGTGGCATTTGGCATGGGCTTAAGGGTTTGAGAGTGTTTTTTAATGGGAAGGGAAGGGGTGTGCAGGAGTTTTATAGAATGGGATGGCTGGTTTTACGGATTCAAAGAATGGGTGTCAATTTTGGGAAAGGCTTTATTGTGTGTGGGATGAAATATTACTGGCGTCTTTTGGATGGTAAATTTTGTTGAGCTCATGAGCGTTTGTCTTAATAAGAGGGCTGCTTTTGCTGTACAGCTGCAGGGATTTCAACTGATTAAAATAAATCATATCGGCATGTAACAAAGAGCACTTTAGCAAAGCGGCTAGGAGAAAACTTGTGGCAAGAATATTCAAGATTCTCAATGAGGCTCATTTAAGTGAAACTAGCTTGTTCAGATGGTTGGTTGCCCTTTTTGAGTCATACTAGCACCCAAATTCCAGTGGCTAGCTTGTCCCTTGTGCAATTTGGTAAGTGAATCCATGACTCTAAATCCCATAATTAGACAGCTCTATTCCATTCTGCTTGCACTGCTTAGACAGTTCTAGATCGGCCGCATCTCCTGGAAATTTGTAAGCTCGCTTCAGATGTTGGGGAGCATATAGTGAGAGGACATGGTGCCAAGAAAGTCCGAGGGTATTGAGCAGAGGTGTATGCGTAGCTTTATGCGTGATAATAGCAGTTATTGCCGGAAGGTGACATGGGCAGACCTTTCGGAACTTGAGACGCTTGAGAGAAGGAGGAAGACGTTCTTCCAGACGTGCGTCATCTTCACAAAACTCTATAGGTGAATGTCGGCCGTGCAGAGACCTAGATATGTTGGTGTAAATGAATAGATGAAAAGTTACGTCCAGTAGCTCGAGTTTTTCAAATGCTCGGAACGAACCCAGCAGATTACTTGGCGTCGATATGATTTTGCCGTCATCAAGAATCGTCAAATACTGAAGTGTGCTCGTTAAATTAGCAATGGCTGACACGAATTTGGTGCAATCAAATTTGAAAATGCTAGGAGACCCCATGTGTGACCATAAGTGAGACGCTCAAGGTTGGGAAATAGTTGAAGGAAATTGGAGAGTCGGCTTGGCTCGCTAACGCTGCGCAAAAGTTGTAGCTCCTTCATTGCTGGAAATTGGTAACCTTTCTCCATCCAGTCATCATCACCATTAAACTGCATACAGCATGCATCTGTTTCGAACACAGACAGCGAAGGAAACATGAAAAATTGAAGGAGCCGATGCATCGGTACATCGTGGTCAGGTTGGGAAGAGTTTATGGAAATTCTTCGAAGATTGCTCAAAGGTTGATCGGAACTATTCGAGATGCTTGCCATTTTGTTGAGAATAAGCAGGGCTTTGCTGGATTCATCGCTGTAGATCCAGTTGGATAATTCCAACTCTTCCAGGTTCGGGAGACGAGATAGCACCAAAGCAGCAACATCAGGCCAGTATCCATTCTCGATAGAGTTGAGTACCCAAGGATATGAAGAGTTTGCGAAAACTGCTTCTGTCGCTGCACTTTCGACACGGATCCAGTCATCCGGTGGTAGACTCGATGTGTGGAGTCGTATAGCTGACTGACTCTGTCGCCGCTCCGTGAATCTAGCAACGCCATGAAACAGCTTCACTTGGTGACCGAGCGCGGGTACTGCAAGAATCTGTCGCAAGAATTTTACGAGGTTATCCTGTGATTTCGGGAGCTCGTGCATGTAGCGGTAGACCGCTGGTAGAGTTACAGCATATAGGCGACGAGAGCATAAGGCGAGGCTGAGAAGGGTCCTGGAGCCACATCTGTATCGATCGCTGTCTTTTTTGGACGTGGTTGATTCTATGTAAATCAGGTCAAAGACTCTGAGAAGTAGCTCGTCCGGGAGTCGCTCGATATTCGATAACGGGGAGCTGAGGGTGGATGACGCCATGCTTAAAGAAGGCCGTAACAATTTTGCTTAATCGTGCTGGATTGTCGGGAACCTGAAGAGGTGCGTTTTCTGGAAGATGTGGAATTAGGAGCGTGGTCGATGAACTCGAGTAGCTTGGGGGTCGCTCTTACCTAGGTTGAAATTTGAGAGGCAGGCCGACTTCTGTTTAACATTGAGGGCCGGAATGTGCAGAAACTGACCGCTAGCTTTGTAGAACAAGACGGGCCCATGTGACTTCGAAAAGCAGGTGAATGCTCTATTCAGGAACCGGGATGCGAAGAATACTGTTGAGATGAGCTTCCGATATGTCGCAGAGTCAAAACAAGTGGTCGGCAAAGTGAATCTGCAAATAAATTATATAAATATGGTGAATTGACAGGTCGCAGTATTAAATATTCTTATTAGAGTGAGTCTGTGGATGAATTGAGAACGCTGCGAGGTGCGAAAATGAATTCTGTCGATCAAAGTCCAAGCAATTATGTGCGGGGACTTGACAACGGGTATTGAATCAAGAAGTGAAACTTCTTAGACAACCTTTCAATGGTATTAATAATCCGCTACGCCGTTTTAGTTATAAATCAACAACGAGTTAAACTCGTGGAAGATATCTCAGCTTCCGCATAAACCGTTCTCAGCCCAAGATCAACTGAGCATTAAATTCCGGATTATATGCCATAGTCACGATATGGAAAATTTTCCAAAGTCGTAAGACTTCTCCCCCACCCATCATCAACCTCCCCAAGTTGATGCTCATCTCCAATCTTGACCAGACCTACACGCCCAGACAGGACATCTCTTTCTTTTCCCATATACTCAGCTGCAAGTGCAGCATGCGGGACCCAAACGACTCTCATTTTAGCCCTTCTCCCAGCTTCAACACCAGGTACGCTATCTTCAAAGACCAAACATTCCTGTGGCTCGATCGGTCTCTGATCTGACGGCAAACTTTCATTGATACACTTGAGCGCCAATAGGAAGATATCAGGTGCAGGTTTTCCACGGCCTTTCCCCAACCGGGGATCATCGCCTAAGACGCGGTTGTTTGCATCAAATACGTTAAACATATTTTTCACGTCGAGATTCGTAGTTTTCATTTTGAAGTTTGGGGTTTCGGTACTTGAGGCAAGTGCCATGTGGATTTTGTCGTCATTGATGTTTGAAGCATCCTTGAGCGTTTTCAGAAGCTTTTCAACTCCCGGTAATGGGATACATTCAGGGAATAACAGTATCTGTTGTTCTCGTAATTCTTCTCTGAATTGAGCGCGTGGTATTGGGAGTTGCGCCCATTCGTGGAAAGTGTCACCGTGTGACGATCCTGGGACTCCCATGAGTTGCGCTTTTACTGACCAAGGGAGGTGAGGTCGTCCGTATCTTTCTAGAACATTGTTGGCACATGTCTTGTATATGTCTTCCTAAAAAGCTGTCATTAAAAGCTGAATGGTTCATGCACTTGGAGTCGCACAGTGTTGATCAATAGACCATCCATATCAAAAATGCACGCCCTGACGGGAGGGAATCTGGATGCCACCGTGCGCGTAAGTGACAACGCACAATATTCTTGAACATCACGAGACTTACTCTGGTTTCATTGACCCCATCTTGAGGTTTCGTGGGTGTTCCTTTCGTGGAACTGTTCGACGTGAGGAAAATCAGAGAAGATGAAGATCCAGTGGTCGGTTTTCTCCTTGGAGGTTACTGCCGCTTGGACCACTACACAGCAGGACCCACTCAAGCATCATGTGATCGGGCCCCCTTTTCAATCTTCCCTCACGGAGGACAAAATAAATGTCAGTCACCTGCCCACTAATCTTGGACTAAAGAATTCAAATCTGAATAGAGAACAAGAAGTCTTGATTACTTAAAAATGTTATGTTATTCTATATTAATCCATTAAATAACAATATTTAGTCAAGTTAATTAAAGAAATACCGTATTTCGACTGTCACTTATTTCGTCCACTGCCGCCACACCGCGAGCTTCCCTACTGGCTGGCAAGATAAGTATTTTGCCGACAAATTTTCCAACTTTATGTTCATTTTAAGCGTAAGGGACAATTACATTCATCTTTCACCAGTTATCCATTATAGAGTAGCTACTGCTAAACAGCAATGACCTTCAATCATTTCACTCATTTTATTCTTATTTTGTTCGATAGGAGAATTTTTAATTAAAGCATAGCGTTTCTTATTTTTGTGTTTTTAATTTTTTTTATATAGCAGCATCAGCTATCTCCCAGGAGAGCAGCCGTCCCCCACATCCTCCCCCGTCAATCAAGCTCTGAAAGAGCGTCTCCACCAGACCTTCGGTCGTTCCACGGCGCTACTCCCATCATCCTTAGGGATAAGTTCTCCAAAGCAGTCTGGGCAAACACATTTCATCACTCTATTCTGCTTCGTCGTCTCGTGACCTGCATCGCCTTTTTCAAGAGCGCATGGGGTGAGGAAGTGCTGGACGTGAGCGCAGTCGGAGTAGACGTTGATGATGGAGTGACACATGTTGATGTTTGTAATTGAGGTGGGCTATGTTTGTGTGTGTATGCGTGTATAGCTGGAGTAGCTTAGTGGTGATGAGACGATTTTGAATATGCAAATCCGATGTTATTTTATGCTTGACTTTTATTCTGTTATATCCAGAGCTTGTCTCCAACTCTTTGTAGAAGAACTCCAGATTTATCTTATTGTTATGTAGACAAAAGCAAAGACAATTTCTTTGTTGATGCAGACGATGTCCTTATAAAGACTCAGTAATGCTACAGCAAGTTACGAGTTGCTTTATGCTACGAACGGAGGTCTTTAATTGAGGGTTCCTTATCATAATCTCTATACTAGGCGCAGTGCACATATCTCCTTACGTCTACAAGTGAAAAGGATTGTGCAACTATTTCCTGCGTTGATCAATTCGTGATGATTCAAAGAATCTTCTATCACTCCTAGGCTTTGAACTTAACTTTTAAAAGCTCAAAGTTGGCTAAAGAAATTAATCTATATCCATGCCATGCAGAATTACGTGTCAGTAAGCTCGCATCAATCTGTTTTTTTCTCACCGGTTCGAGAAATTTCCATTACAATTCATCAAATTACTTATATTTTACAGTGTAGTTTCCCACGATCCGCATGCTGACTCGTTTTAATCTTACGGAGAGACTCTTGTCAAATGTAAGATATGACACCCCAGTCGTGGAACGATGCAAGATTCTGACTGCTTTTGAGATACTGGATTTCCAATTGTGAAAGGAGGACTTCTTAAATTATATTTTTAACTTATGATGATTGTGGTTTAGATGTTAGTCTATCAAACACCATTATCAATTACAGTTTGGCCAGACTGATTTCCATCGTTTCGAAGAGCATTCGTCATGTGCGAGAAACATGTTGAAGAGAGGGAAATCCCTAAATGTGTTATGTCAGATGATAGCATTCTTGAGAAGGCCAGACTTACTTTAGTGATAATTATAAGCCGGTTTGGCCAGGTTATTGATATACTGCTTAGACTGGTCGCCAGCTATAGAGGTATAGAGAAAGCATGAAAATCATAATAGACGCTCTATTGCCACAAAATATAACACACTAGGGAGAATAATAAGGAGAGGTTCGCTAGTTTATTGAAAGACTGACGGGACAATCATTAAGTAAGATATTTTGGAAACGCGATTCTCAATGCTCCTTTTCTAAGATCGATATTTAGTGTTTTGGATAAAGACAATGCTGTTTTTTTACTCAACTGTAAGGAGTAATTACAGCATTTTGGGAAGAGTGTAGTTGTTCTGTCGAATCAGGCATCCCATCAGATTTGCAACCTACTGGTGGTTGATAATGAAATTTTGGCAATGTTTACATCCCTTGATCCGATTAATAAAAACGTCGCTAGTACTGCCCATCAAGATCCAAGTTGTGTTTTTCGCTTGTTTCAATGCTTACGATCCGGACTCCTGATTAGTCTACTCGTATACTTTCCTAAGCATGAGGTGCAGTGTGGAGACAACATACCCTTCCCCATTCTTAGCTAATACTGGCTCCAAAGCAGTCATTACTTCGTACATGCAAGACGTATGCGTGTCATCAAGAATCGAGACGGTCACACCGCTCAACCTCAAAAACACGCCAATGAGGCCGGCAGTGTTAAGATATCAACTGCAATTGCGGTGAAGACTCAGTAACAGTTCCGTTCTTCGGCGGAGTAAGTTGGCCGCTTCAGCGTTGCTGTGTCCGAAAGCATCTTAGTAAGCCGCCTCCCAGTTGGGGCACCACCAGAGGGGGCAAGACTATCATTAGTCGGTTCGTTTATTTTTGAGTATTACTGTATCCAAGTTGCTGCCTACATGTTTTGTGGGCTAGTAGCACGGCCGAAGACGTGTAAGTTGACCGACATTCAGAGAAGTGTTTCTTCACATTAAGTCAAGAATTGTTAAGCGAGCTCAGAGTTAAAGACATAGTAAAGACTTGAATATAAAAAGGACTCGGAATTCTCGAGCAAAGTTGGCTTAGCACTGCTATCTCTATCAAGCATCTACTCTCTACACTTTAAAAATCTTTCTTCTACCACGCTAAACCAGCTCATCATGAAGTTCTCCATCGCTTCTCTCCTTAGCTTAGCTACGGCCGTCTCAGCCATCGACATCTATCTCCATCCTAACACAGACTGCAGTGGAACAGCGGGAGTTTGCGCAGGTGCCGGACCTCGGGGCTGCTGCACGGGACCAGGCGGCGCCGGATCCGCGAGCGGTGTCGCCCTCCGTGGTATCCCTATCGGCTGGCTCGTTGAGCTTCAGGGTTTCACCGGTGGTGGCTGCACGAATTTTGCAGGAAGAACGGGAAGCGGGGGTGGCACCACGTTTTTGTGTCTCCGTGGCGGATTCTTTACAGGTGCCGGCTATATCTTCTATGGCAAGAAGCGGGATGAGACTGCCGAAGTCGACGACAAGAAGTGCCAGAGATTCAATATATTGCGTTTGGCGGACGGTACCGAGTACGATGTGTCTGGTCTGAATGATGAAGTCTTCGATAGCCTGTAAGTTTTCCCTTGTTTCATCAAATAGAATTTATGCATTTGCTCACACTACTTGCCCAGTCTCCCAATTGGACTTAACGCCACAACCCACGAAGAGGTGCCTAACGAGCTCAAGACCCTGCGAATTGAATAACTCCAGGTCAGCCAATAGCTTGTTAGGAAAGATCTATTCACAGTGGCTGTTTGCGCTAGGACCAATCAGAATATCTAGTCTACAGGTTTTTTGTCTTACTCTTTCAGAAAAACCGTCTTTGATGGATTCTATTTATGGTTGAAAACAAACACGCTCCTTACAAATGTTCAGTTAATATATACATGACTGCTAAAAATTATCCTTGCATTGATATGTGGTGACCCGGTGTATGTAAAATGAATACATATTCTGCTTCGGCTTTTCTCCAGTATGCCAGCCATAAACAATTTGCGGAGATGTGGGACCGTGGCTGGATTCCAATTAAGTCCGATTTTGTGGCAAAATCCTTGTCGGTTTTTTGGTAGACGTTTCTGAGATTGGGATGCTCCTGAGTTATTTCGAACTTGATCGTGTCCTATCGACGAAATAACTTTGGTGATCATAACCCCGGAAAGAACCCCTTTTGGGTATACTCGACCAGCCTCTTGGTGCCATCTAATGTGGGTGTATCATTAGCTCTAAGAATGAGTGGTTGATGGGAAAGGTCATTGGGAGCTAGGATGCAGTCTTTAAACTTGGCGTCACTGTCTTCTCACACAGCAGAAACGTCAACAATCTAATGACAATGCCACTTTGAAACCCACGAACTATATCGTCCAGCTTGTTCAAACAGATCGCGGATTCCATTGATGAAAACCTACTGTTCCAAAAATCGATCGTGACTTTTGCACCTTCATTTGAAACATGGTCAACTTCGAAGGAACCATTTGTCAGAGAACCTAGTGGGGTTAATGAAGCCGGTACCTTCTTATGACCAGCTAGTTTGTAACAAGCCGCGTAGACATGATACTTCGTCCCTGTTGGATGGCTGGAAAAGAAGTGGAAAAAGACCCGTCACTTTTGGCTCGATTCGTCTTATCTTGTAAACTTGATTGAGATATTGTATAATTAGTCTTATTGTAGATTGGTGGACCCGTGCCAAAGGCTAAAACTGGTCCATTGACGGTGAGTTGTTTACAATCTTGGCGATTGTTAAAAACACTAGATCTGTAAACTGAGAAGGCAGAATTTTAGAGTTAAAAGCCTCATCCGCTGCAGCGGTGGTGTAGTTGTCGGTTAGTTAATGTCACGTTAGGTTCTATGTGGCACGTTAGTAAAATAGATGACTGGAAGTTGGTGTATAGATAGGATCGTTTTAGAGGGTACCACTAATTTCTAAGCGAACCCCTCTTTGAATCTATGTTAGCAATTTTAAAATCAGATGTGACGGGCTTACCATTTTCAGGCTCAGCACACACCCCTTGACTCGACAGAGAACAAATGTAGAGATCCATACGAATAACATCGCGTTTGTATATTATAGCGCAGCTTTAACAATAGTGTTATATGCTGGTCTTCCAACATTCAACCCAGTCAGCTTCTTGAGCGCCTCCACCATGATGTACATTACTTTGAGTACCTATTCTTGCAAATTACGGAGCAGTGAGTCTTATATTGTAGTACGCGACGAGCTTGTCTCCGATCGATGTAACACTTTTCACATCTGCTGCGACTACTTCAGGAGAGATATATGCAACAGGAAGCCTGATATAGCAAGAATGGGGTTTTTAAGAGGTAAACCCGGGATACACAATTGTCGCCACTATCTAAACTTTAGTCGAGGTTCAAGACCCGGGACTTGAAAAGCTTCAGCTTGATCATTTGGAGCGCGTCGCAAGATAAGTGATGGACTTCGATTGTTAACAAGCGCATAGATCACGTACGAAAGATGAATTACAGAGTGAAAAACTCCCTGATCGTATCATGTCAACTTGATGGGACTGCTGAGACGATCAAGCTTACTCTGATAACCAAAACGAGCATTCATCTCTTATCAACCTCGCCCCCGCCCCCCCCCCCCCCCCCCCCACGCCCCCCCAGTATCGCATACTTCCAAATTGTTCACTCAGAAAGACGACGAGGAGCCTCTTTATAACATAGAGAGAAAGTCTCAAGTTAACCTAGACAGGGTATGAGCCGGGTCCATGGCAAGTGTGTTTCAGCCCACGGGCAATGATGCAGCGACGTAAGACCTCTTAGCATTGTCATTCTCAAGCTTTAATGTAACTCCATCCTTGCCATCCTGACCAGCAACGCAACTCTGCTATAGGACACAAACCTGCCAAGGCTTCGCGAGGTCATAGACACCTTGTTAGCTTTCAAGGGAAATTGTGTCATCCTTCAGTAGTCATAGACTCATAGAACAAGCTACTTTGCTAGTCGAACCGCTGGCAAGTGCCTTGAGGCTTGAAAAGCCAAAAGCTGGAGAAGCCGGAATTTCGGTTTAAATTTAGAGATTCTTGTCCCCGCAGAGCAGACACATCATAAAGTAGTCCGAATCATCGAAGTCCTAGTAAATGAAGAAACAAACAAGAGGTCGATTGATGATCGTTTGTCGTTGAGGATCCGTGTTGCCATGGATTTCACACAATCACATTTGACAACACTAAACCTCTTTGCTTCGTACAGAGGTTTTGGTGATTCGACGTTGGCGCTTCTCTCGATGCAGGCAACGTATCTGGTTCCCGTGCGGATCTGGGGCGTCTCTTCACAATCTTCCGTTCTGTTTGTCACAATAGCTCCTAAACCAGCGTTCTACTGATAAGAGAAGTATTCGAATCTCACTTCCTCAAATTGGTTTCCGGGTTATTAAAAAGAAACTCCAATTTGAATTTTCCCGTCCGTGAATAGCGCAAGAAAAGTAATACGGGACATCAAACTCAAAAGACTGGCAAACGGCGCTCTTTCACATGACTAATTTCTATAATCTGCATTCCGCGCAATTCGAAGGAGCTCTTACCTCAAGTCTCCCCATGCTTTATGTCCCCGTACTGTGAAGCAAGTGACAATCTGGAAGACTTTATTTGAAACCAGCCCTGTGAAGACACGGAAGCGAGTTTTCCGATGGTATCTGCGTCACCTTATAAGGCGGTTTAAGTATATCTCGCACATCGTAGATTCTAGATCTAGTGTCAAAGTGCGGTAGACAAATTCGCTTTGGTAGGTACTAGATAATTCGAGGAGGGAAGAAAAATCTTTATAGGCGTTAGTATAGATTATCGGGTATTAGATAATCTTCTCGCGTGAAAATTGAAAATGTAGAGAAGACATACGCTTAGCTTAGAAATAGATTACTTCTCGAAACGAAACGTTTCGATATCTATAAAATATTAGAAATCGATAATTACAAATTTTAAGCTTAAGCCTTTTACTCGACATTAATCAAGGAGTTAAAAGCCACATAACATAACTATCTCATTCAGCATTAACTCTTCTCTCAACTGAAGTTACTAAAACTCAAAATCTCCCTACAACATACAGTCAAAAACAAAAAAGCCATTTCATATTCGACACCGACATCTCACCTCCTCGTTTATTATCAGCCTATTGCAAAGCCCACTAGACTGGCCCGCTATCTCAATCCACTACCCTATGTCTCTAACAATTTTCTCTGAAAGTTATAAACAGCTCTATGTTAATAACTCTCCGATTTTAGTTTATTGGTTTTTGATAGAAAATAATCTTGCATTAGATTCCAAGACCTTTGGTCGGCGGACACCCGAATCCGCTCGATCGTTTACTCTGCCAGTTCGCTGCTTCTCGTGAATGTGTTTACCTACAGTATCTCGAGATGTGGATTTGTTTGGATTGTAATGAAGTTTTTGGGTAGTTTCCGAGGAGAAAGAGAAGATTATAGCTGACTTTCCTTTCGACATGGAAGTTTTGATGAGTGAGTTAGTGTAAGTTAGTGATATAGAGCGAGAAGACCGGTATGTTAATGCTTGCGAGGCTTCTCTCAGTAGGCTGACAATAATTTTAGTAAAGACTATGAAATTATTCAACGTGCTACAGTGCGAGATGAATGTATATTGGAATAACCTCCTAATATTCACTCCTCCACTCCAACCAAAACAATCATGCCATATAGCACCGGTACTATATCGTCTCCTCCTCTTTTCTGCTTTCCTTATCCTTTTAAATCGGTACCTCATCTCTGGAAATACATCCAATAGCCGAACATCCAAACACAACTCAAAAATCATGTTGAACAGCAACCCACTCATCCATAAATACACACTCCGCTCGCATTTCCGGCCACAAGCCGAGGTAAGGGTTCATTACCAAGCATGTAAGCATACAGAGCTTCAGGAGGACAGACTTGATGGGTATATGGTTGTGGTGTTGAGGGAGAGTGAGGGAGTTAAGAGGGATCGATGCGGGGATGTGAGGGTTGTTAGGGAGGGGAGGTGTGAGGGGTGTCGGGGGAGGATGTAGGAGAGGGAGAGAGGTGTGGGTAAGGGGAGGAAGAGGGGAGAAGAACGAAGGGGGGAAGAAGGGTTGGAGAGTGAGATGTGAGAGAAGAGGTTGAGTTCGAGGAAGTATTGAGAGAGGGACTGGGAGGAAGATGTTGAAGTCAGAGGAAGAAAAGTGAATCGTGGGGTAAAACGGCTTTTTGGAGCTGAGAAAATGCAATGGAATTACTGGTTTGGAGCGGAATTTAGGTGTTCGGTGCTGTTCATATGAGGGTTCGCTTTTTTCGGAAAAAAAAGAAAAGGTCTTCAAGAGATAGTTAAAGATTTCAAAGTCGTAGAGAAGGAAATGAAACAAAAAACTCACTAATAGGAATTCTCAATTCCACAACGCACACCTAATACTCGATCACCACTCGTGAGAGAAGCTAAACTTCCCATCCACGAGTGGTGACCGAGTATTTACCCCTTTCCGACACCTCAAAACACGAATACGAACACAATCTTATCCGATTACCGTTTTCCCCGCATATCAGGTACCAGTCAGCTCCATAAGTTTGACTTTCGGTACCGTTTTATCCACTTAAATGATTTGCGATGTCGGAGTTCTTTGTTCTCGGGTCGCTTGGGACGGATGATGACTGCTGAAAATTGTATGTCTGCGCCGGAAGTGTTGGGATGAAGTGAGACTCGGCTTGGATATTGATGTAATCTAATCTTATCTGATTGAAATTATCTGATCTTGGCCTTTACTCCTTCCTTGGTCACAATAATCCGCCCCTGAACTAGCGGATAATGTCCGTCGTGAATCAGCTTGAGATCCTGGGATTGTTTCATCTTTCTTTTGATGAAGAAGATTTGTTATTGGGTAATAAGATGTTGTTTTGTTGAATCCCATCTCACCGCTACGAAAGGGCCCACCTTGGAGATGATCTGATTAGATTTGGAAAACGCCACGACGGTGCGCGGAATGCGCTAGGCTGGATGTGCAGTAGCGCTCACGGGGGAGGATTCGGGTCGGCAGCTGAATCGGTGGTGTGAGAGTGGGCAGACGGATGGGTTGATGATGTGATTGTGAGGGAATGTGAGGTTTATTTAGTGATGAATTGCTTGATAGGAAGCGAAGTTTAATCATACAATCATGTGAAAATAAGGAAGATGTCTTATGTGGGGTGACGGCAGAGAAGCATAGAAGCGTTAAGCATGATCAGTCATGATAAGTAAGAGAGGAATAGACGAGGAAGGATTTTCTGGATTTGGTAATGTTACACAAGTCGAAGCAAGTCTAAGTCTGGATCTCCATGGAAAAAAGGATGTGGTACACGGCAAGCTGCAGTCAGATATGGAAGAAGGGTTTGCTGATGTGCTACGGTGAGCGTAGAGACCAGCCGAGAACATGTCCCGCGTGTGCGTTTGATACAACGTGGAAGGTTGGGAGTGGATGGTATTCGAGACATGTGAATAGCTTCACGGTGTATATCAGTTTACTTTCTCAATCAAGAGAAATAGACTAAAGCATTATGATTGCACGTGGGATCACTTCCCTGAATCAAACATCCAAGTCGATCCAACCGTTCGGCATGAGCTAAACGAGCTACGAATAGGGGCGTGAACTCAGAATCTAGGATGATGTCGGTGGGACCTGGAAGCGAAATATCGAAATAATAATTTAAAGAAATGATAAATAAAAAGCAACATGGCATCAACTTCTGCTCCTTGATTTATCTTGACTAAATGAACCATCTCCGGTCCCGGCCGATCACTTTAGAGTTCCCACCAGAAAATCTTATCTGATCATTGTTCAGCAGGCAGAGCCACAGCCAAAAACCGGCTATCGCCCGCCAACCACACCCGCAAGAAGCCTTCTCTTCCCACTTTCATCCCAACGCAACTCGTCTTTCTCCGCCATCCCAACTGCATAAGCAAACGGCAGCTGCACCGTCATATTACAAGAACATTACCACGCACGAAACACACATTCAAAGAACTTCAAAGAATCAATTATCTCTTGCTAAGGATCACCAACGGATGCGATAACCTTAGTCCATTGTCCGTCGTCAAATACCAAGTACTCGTCGTCTTTGCTCACCAGACATTCTTCCACAGTACATGCTACGACGTGCAATCCGAACCAACATCATGATGTCCCGACCACCACACATGTTGCTTCGCAACATGACGACCTCGCATTGCATACCAGAGGAGCCAGCTCCAGCTTCACCAACCTCGGTCGCACCATCGCTTGGGTATTCCTCATCGTCCTCAGTCGACGAGCCTGAAGAACCCATCGCTCGACCACGACGCGCTTCCACCAAATTGATCTCGCAGAATGCCTCCGACGTCCAACGATTAATAGGAGAGCCGGGCACAAGATTGATTGAGAAATGCTGTGGTGGAGGATGTTGCATGGCCGCCACCAATACCGACCGATTGAATTTCGAAAAAGTCGAATTACCAAACAACGACGCGTTTAAAGCTCTACAATTGAAGGTGGGAATGATCCCAACGACCCTCACACAATTGCCAGAGACACCTGAGCAGACGATCCATATCCTGCCAGTCAAAAACGCGACTTCAATCCCATCACCGACCGACTCTGCCATCTCAGTGGGCGAGGAGGCAAAAAGTGATTCCATTGACTTTACCCCACATAATATCCAAACACCACCCATCGATACCTCGGTCCACCCACCAAATTTCGTCCAACCTCACCCACCCTACGCCGTACACTCGGCAAAGATATTTAGTGCGCGAGCATTAACCAAGCCGGGCGCGGAGAAGCGTACGTATCATTTCGATCTCGATGTTACGGATTATCCAGAGGAGATGGGTGTGGATTTCAAGGTGGGAGGTGCAATTGGGGTGATGGCTCCGAATGAGCCGGGGGTGGTGGATGAGTTGATGGATTTGCTTTGCATTCCAAAGCATATTCGGGATCGTCCTATTCTGCTCAAGACGGGTGGAGGTCATTGGCCTACGGTTTGGGGGGAGGAGAAAGCACGAGAGCTCATCACGACAAGACGTGATCTTCTTACTTGGTGCAGCGATATCCAATCGTATCCACCAACCAAGCAACTCATGCACTTGCTCGCAGAACACACGACAAACGTTAACGAGAAGAAGGTTCTCGATTTCTTGTGCAGCGCGGAAGGTCAGAATGTCTTTTGCGATTTCCGTACTGGACCTCATGTCACTATGAACCAATTACTTCACGCATTCCCGTCCAGCAAACCACCACTTGAGCTTCTCCTCCAACAACTTCAACCTCTCATGCCAAGATTTTACTCTCTCTCCAACGATCCTCACGAGAACTGTGTCCCACGAGCAGGCTGTGCTCGTCTTATCGAAATCGCAGTCACCGTCCACGAGACCAACAATTGGACAGGCGGTCTTCGAACCGGCGTAGGATCCGGCTACTTTGAACGACAAGCCCTCAAATTCATCGAAGCCGAAGAAAAAGGCGAGAAACCAGACCTCCGCATCCCCATGTTCAAAGGTCTCATGGCCAATCCTCTCGCCCGCGAATTCGTTGCCGATGGTCCTATGCTCCTAATCGGTGCCGGTGTCGGTGTCGCCCCTTTCCGCGGCTTTGTCCAACGTCGTCTCAAAAACGCAAACTGCGCCAACAAAGTCTGGGTTCTCCAAGGCGTCCGCGATTCCCTCCTCGACGAGCTATACACCGGCGAATGGGGCGTCCACGAGAGCGAAGTCAAGAAAGTCGTGCAATCCCGTAAACATTCCGGTAAAGGCAAATACGTGCAAGATGAGGTCCGCGCGCAGGCTGATCTCGTCTGGTTCATCATCAACAGTCTTGATGGCCGCGTGTTTGTGTGTGGGAGTAGCAAGGGGATGGGCGAGGGTGTTGAGGAGGCCCTCATTGATTCGGCGATGATGAAGGGGAATCTGAGTAGGGATGAGGCGACTAAGTTTTGGGATTTGAAGAAGGAGGCCGGGCAGTATATTGCTGAGACTTGGTAGAGAAAGTACCACGACGAACGAACTTTTGTATATGAAAGATAGGGGTATATGTTGGTTGACTGTATAAAAGGGAGGGTAATCTGTTTTTTGGGCAAGGTGTTTGGGAAGATAAGATGGATTCGCATCATTGGGGCGTTTTTTTTTTGTTTGTTGTGTGTCGT